ACATCCCTGTAAACCCAGATTGCACCGGTGCTAGCGACTAAACGACGGGAAGTACACGCCGAACAGTAGCTGGACTCCTAGAGGACTAGTCATGCTGTAATATATAACAGTAGCTGGACTATGTAGGGTAGGGGTACTAGTCATGCTGTAATATATAACAGTAGCTGGACTATGTAGAGGTACTAGTCGTGCTGTAATATATAACAGTAGCTGGACTATGTAGAGGTACTAGTCGTGCTGTAATATATAACAGTAGCTGGACTATGTAGGGGTACTAGTCATGCTGTAATATATAACAGTAGCTGGACTATGTGGTACTAGTCATGCTGTAATATATAACAGTAGCTGGACTATGTAGGGGTACTAGTCATGCTGTAATATATAACAGTAGCTGGACTAGGTAGGGGTACTAGTCATGCTGTAATATATAACAGTAGCTGGACTATGTAGGGGTACTAGTCATGCTGTAATATATAACAGTAGCTGGACTATGTAGAGGTACTAGTCATGCTGTAATATATAACAGTAGCTGGACTATGTAGAGGTACTAGTCATGCTGTAATATATAACAGTAGCTGGACTATGTAGAGGTACTAGTCATGCTGTAATATATAACAGTAGCTGCTGGACTATGTAGGGGTACTAGTCATGCTGTAATATATATAACAGTAGCTGCTGTAATATATAACAGTAGCTGGGTAGGGGTACTAGTCATGCTGTAATATATAACAGTAGCTGGACTATGTAGAGGGGTACTGTAATATATAGTCATGCTGTAATATATAACAGTAGCTGGACTATGTAGGGGTACTAGTCATGCTGTAATATATAACAGTAGCTGGACTATGTAGGGTAGGGGTACTAGTCATGCTGTAATATATAACAGTAGCTGGACTATGTAGGGGTACTAGTCATGCTGTAATATATAACAGTAGCTGGACTATGTAGGGGTACTAGTCGTGCTGTAATATATAACAGTAGGTGGACTATGTAGGGGTACTAGTCGTACTGTAATATATAACAGTAGCTGGACTATGTAGGGGTACTAGTCGTGCTGTAATATATAACAGTAGCTGGACTATGTAGGGTAGAGGTACTAGTCATGCTGTAATATATAACAGTAGCTGGACTATGTAGGGTAGGGGTACTAGTCATGCTGTAATATATAACAGTAGCTGGACTATGTAGGGTAGGGGTACTAGTCATGCTGTAATATATAACAGTAGCTGGACTATGTAGGGGTACTAGTCGTACTGTAATATATAACAGTAGCTGGACTATGTAGAGGTACTAGTCATGCTGTAATATATAACAGTAGCTGGACTATGTAGGGTAGGGGTACTAGTCATGCTGTAATATATAACAGTAGCTGGACTATGTAGGGTAGGGGTACTTGTCATGCTGTAATATATAACAGTAGCTGGACGATGTAGGGGTACTAGTCGTGCTGTAATATATAACAGTAGCTGGACTATGTAGTGGGACTAGTCATGCTGTAATATATAACAGTAGCTGGACTATGTAGAGGTACTAGTCGTGCTGTAATATATAACAGTAGCTGGACTATGTAGGGGTACTAGTCATGCTGTAATATATAACAGTAGCTGGAGTATGTAGGGGTACTAGTCGTGCTGTAATATATAACAGTAGGTGGACTGTAATATATAACAGTAGCTGGACTATGGGGTACTAGTCATGCTGTAATATATAACAGTAGCTGGACTATGTAGGGGTACTAGTCAAGCTGTAATATATAACAGTAGCTGGACTATGTAAGGTAGGGGTACTAGTCATGCTGTAATATATAACAGTAGCTGGACTATGTAGGGTAGGGGTACTAGTCATGCTGTAATATATAACAGTAGCTGGACGATGTAGGGTAGGGGTACTAGTCATGCTGTAATATATAACAGTAGCTGGACTATGTAGGGGTACTAGTCATGCTGTAATATATAACAGTAGCTGGACTATGTAGGGTACTAGTCGTGCTGTAATATATAACTGTAATATATAATGCTGTAATATATAAGTAGTAGCTGGACTGTAATATATAACAGTAGCTGGACTATGTAGGGGTACTAGTCATGCTGTAATATATAACAGTAGCTGGACTATGTAGAGGTACTAGTCATGCTGTAATATATAACAGTAGCTGGACTATGTAGGGGTACTAGTCATGCTGTAATATATAACAGTAGCTGGACTATGTAGGGGTACTAGTCATGCTGTAATATATAACAGTAGCTGGACTATGTAGGGGTACTAGTCATGCTGTAATATATAACAGTAGCTGGACTATGTAGGGGTACTAGTCATGCTGTAATATATAACAGTAGCTGGACTATGTGTATGCTGTAATATATAACAGTAGCTGGTACTAGTCATCCTGCTGTAATATATAACAGTAGCTGGACTATGTAGGGGTACTAGTCATGCTGTAATATATAACAGTAGCTGGACTATGTAGGGGTACTAGTCATGCTGTAATATATAACAGTAGCTGGACTATGTAGGGTAGGGGTACTAGTCATGCTGTAATATATAACAGTAGCTGGACTATGTAGGGGTACTAGTCATGCTGTAATATATAACAGTAGCTGGACTATGTAGGGGTACTAGTCATGCTGTAATATATAACAGTAGCTGGACTATGTAGAGGTACTAGTCATGCTGTAATATATAACAGTAGCTGGACTATGTAGGGGTACTAGTCGTACTGTAATATATAACAGTAGCTGGACTATGTAGGGGTACTAGTCGTGCTGTAATATATAACAGTAGCTGGACTATGTAGGGTAGGGGTACTAGTCATGCTGTAATATATAACAGTAGCTGGACTATGCTGTAATATATAACAGTAGCTGGACTATGTAGGGTAGGGGTACTAGTCATGCTGTAATATATAACAGTAGCTGGACGATGTAGGGGTACTGGTCATGCTGTAATATATAACAGTAGCTGGACTATGTATTGCTACTAGTCATGCTGTAATATATAACAGTAGCTGGACGATGTAGGGTAGGGGTACTAGTCATGCTGTAATATATAACAGTAGCTGGACTATGTAGGGGTACTAGTCATGCTGTAATATATAACAGTAGCTGGACTATGTAGGGGTACTAGTCGTGCTGTAATATATAACAGTAGCTGGACTATGTAGGGGTACTAGTCGTGTGCTGTAATATATAACAGTAGCTGGACTATGTATAGGTACTAGTCATGCTGTAATATATAACAGTATCTGGACTATGTAGGGTACTAGTCGTGCTGTAATATATAACAGTAGCTGGACTATGTAGGGTAGGGGTACTAGTCATGCTGTAATATATAACAGTAGCTGGACTATGTAGAGGTACTAGTCATGCTGTAATATATAACAGTAGCTGGACTATGTAGGGGTACTAGTCATGCTGTAATATATAACAGTAGCTGGACTATGTAGAGGTAGTAGTCGTACTGTAATATATAACAGTAGCTAAACTATGTAGGGTAGGGGTACTAGTCATGCTGTAATATATAACAGTAGCTGGACTATGTAGGGGTACTAGTCATGCTGTAATATATAACAGTAGCTGGACTATGTAGGGGTACTAGTCATGCTGTAATATATAACAGTAGCTGGACTTTGTAGAGGTACTAGTCATGCTGTAATATATAACAGTAGCTGGACTATGTAGAGGTACTAGTCATGCTGTAATATATAACAGTAGCTGGACTATGTAGGGGTACTAGTCATGCTGTAATATATAACAGTAGCTGGACTATGTAGAGGTACTAGTCATGCTGTAATATATAACAGTAGCTGGACTATGTAGGGTAGGGGTACTAGTCATGCTGTAATATATAACAGTAGCTGGACTATGTAGAGGTACTAGTCATGCTGTAATATATAACAGTAGCTGGACTATGTAGAGGTACTAGTCATGCTGTAATATATAACAGTAGCTGGACTATGTAGAGGCAGTAGCTGGACTATAGTAGGGGTACTAGTCATGCTGTAATATATAACAGTAGCTGGACTATGTAGGGGTACTAGTCATGCTGTAATATATATAGCTGGACTATGTAGGGGTACTAGTCATGCTGTAATATATAACATGTAGCTGGACTGTAATATATGGTAGGGGTACTAGTCATGCTGTAATATATAACAGTAGCTGGACATAATGTAGATATGGTAGTATAATGTAGATATGGTAGGTATAATATAGATATGGTAGGTATAATATAGATATGGTATTGCTATGGTAGGTATGATATAGATATGGTAGGTATAATATAGATATGGTAGTATAATGTAGATATGGTAGTATTATGTAGATATGGTAGGTATAATGTAGATATGGTAGGTATAATATAGATATGGTAGGCATAATGTAGATATGGTAGTATAATGTAGATATGGTAGGTATAATATAGATATGGTAGGTATAATGTAGATATGGTAGTATAATGTAGATATGGTAGGTATAATATAGATATGGTAGGTATAATGTAGATATGGTAGTATAATGTAGATATGGTAGGTATAATATAGATATGGTATTGTTATGGTAGGTATAATTTACATATGGTCCGTCCCAATGGTATTGCTATGGTAGGTATAATTTACATATGGTCCGTCCCAATGGTATTGCTATGGTAGGTATAATTTACATATGGTCCGTCCCATCATATTTGATAGTCTCCGTATCTCGTATTGTTTTCGGAGCTTTCATGTTATTAGTTCAATCAAACATAAATGTTTTAGGTCCATCAAGTTCATACTTCTTGATAAACAGATTTAGTATATCTAGTTAATCTGATGTACTTATTAATGTCATGACATGTGAATATACCGCCATCAATTACGTGTTCTTAATCCACTTTACAGACATCAAACGGACCGTAAAGAAAACCATGTTCTGAGTGTCTTTTGTTTCTACCAAAGGTGTTCGGTGTTACGAAAAGATATAAGTTTTGATTTACAAAAATATTGTTTGTTTATGTTACAGAGTTTTGCAAAAGGTCCCGTGGGCCCGTCTTTCCTAGATCTACAAGCCATTAGCGGCGTTGGACTGGAGGGTGGGTCGACATTGCTCACCACCCTGTATATAGGCTATATGTTCAGCACCATTGTCAGTGGCTACCTTTTCGACAAATTCAAACGATCACTTCTTTTATCCGTTGCCAAGTTTATATTAGCGTGGACCGCCATAGCCATACCCTGGTGTTCTGTGTACTGGTTAATGTTAACGGTGTTCTTCTTTCTTGGTGCCATGGTCGGTGCAACTGATGCAAGTAAGTAATGTGTCAAAACTCTAGTTTGTATTACTTTAAATATACAGCGTGTTAGGAGAATTGCAGGTCTTTTTTAACATAAATGCATTATCAGATAATCACCTTGTTATCCCGCGAAGTCTTCCGTGTCACGAATACATCGTTGTAATATACACTAGATCGAGTTTTCTGACTGCACTGGTCAGATAGTATATCGTAATATGGAGAGTTACGTCATCAATTGAAAACTGCGCAAACAAACGGCTCCCGATGTTTTATTGTCACCTCCATATTTTTCTTTAATACATATCAAGATTTAACCTTTGTCAATTCTGCAATGAAAATAATTTAAAATTTAATTTCATTTCAAATGATATTTTATGAATCTCGTTTCGAAGTTAAAGTTAACTTTTTTGATTGCTAAGGACAAAAACAATCTTTGAAGATTTGTTCTTACAAAATCCCACTGGAAACGAAAACTCGTTTTAATATATATATAGCATCTTGTAAGTAATATCGACGGTCTGGTCCAATATTGGTACTGAATCTTCTATACATAGGATCTAGTAAGTAATATCGACGGTCTGGTCCAATATTGGTACTGAATCTTCTATATATAGAATCTAGTATGTAATATCGACGGTATGGGCCAATATTGGTAGCTAACCTTCTATACATAGGATCTAGTAAGTAATATCGACGGTCTGGTCCAATATTGGTACTGGATCTTCTATAAATAGAATCTAGTACGTAATATCGACGGTATGGTCCAATATTGGTACTGGATTTTCTATAAATAGAATCTAGTATGTAATATCGCAAAAACCATCTAAATTTGTATGAAAGATGGGGATTCAAATATCAAAAATGTTTTATATAAATCTCGGTAGATTGCGCACTGTAGTAACCGATCGTGTATGTAATCGCACATAAAAACGAGAGGCCTAGCGGCCTTGACGGTCACCTGAGATAAGCAATATTGAATATGAATGTCATAAAACAGATATTGTGATACTGAATATAGTAAGATAGTGTCAATGCATGCATACTATCAAAACTGTCATTGTATACTGATAATTTTTACAAGGTTATTTCCGACTGGAAATAACCAACGTTATGCTCAAAAATGCAATTGATTCTAGGAGAAGACTCTTTTTTTTAATTTTTTTTTCAACAACTTGGGCATACCATCAAAAGCCATAAGCCTTCACTCATAATTCTAACCAAGTTCGGTAAAGGCAGGTCCAGGTTTTTCTTTCCGATAGAACATCGGTGATTGTTGATTAAGTGGCGTCATGCCATTATGCCTCCGGTGTGACATTTTAGTATCATTATAATTGTTCGGGAGAGATGTCATGACATTGTGTCTCCGGTGTGACATTTCAGTATCATTATAATTGTTCGGGAGATATAATATGCGGTTGTGCGTCCGACATGATATTTCAGCGGTTTTTTTTATGGTTAATGAGATGAGAATATATACGAATACCTCAGATGATCCCATCCAAGAAGGCACCGTCTTTTAAATTACCAATATGTCAACAAAATTTCAAAACTCAAATTAAAAAAAAAAAGAGCAAAATGAGAACAAAAGTAAGATTTACAGGAAAACCCATGAAATGCCATGATAAGGGACAAGGGTATTTATCCGACCAGATGTTCCGGTAAGCCAAGCGTCTTTTGCTTCATCGAAGTTGTCCGCCATATAGATATTTGTAAATCCAAATCGGTAATGCTAAATGAGAACAAGGTGAACAACACGAACAAGTACTAACGAACACCAATCATGTCCAACTTCATATCTCGCAAGAAAAAAAAATCCCAATGAGATAATTGTGACGACCTTGAAACTTTCCCGATAATATCCACCGTCCAGCACTTCTCGAAGTCCCGTGTTGTGGATATATCTGACAGTCGTCAACATCTCGCGCAGAAATCGTGATATTAGGAACAAGTCCTTGAACATCGTATCAATTGCGAATTGAAAACATATACGTTCGGGAAATAGGTGTGCTACTATATGGAACTGGAATCTTCAGGCTAAGGATAACTTCAGTAACTTTAGTAACTTTAGTAACGATTTTGGTTTTTGTTAAATTCTGTTGGTTCATAATCCAAATAGCACTACCACCGATATGGCGCCGTTCAAATATACCATGTTACATATATTATATACACAGCCGAAAGAAATTTAATGAGGTCACCGGTCACATGGTAAATGTGACGTCAAAGTGTTACTTTTTACCCTGACCATGTCTATTATGTAGGTAGTAGTGTAGAAAGCAGACACTTCCCATATTTTTCGTGTTACCTTTGCTTGACAATGGAATACTTGATCTAATATTACATAAAATTTCATACAAATGTGAGGAAATAAAATTGTTTTGATAAAGGGAAATTAATGGGAAAATTACATCGAAGGATCGCGAGTCGACGATATTTAATTATACAAGTATGTACATTATATATCTCTGGATAAGTGTTAATGGTTATAACACCTGTTCTGTTACGAAATCTAATATAACGTGGAATGTAACTATACAGATTTATTATAGATTTTTACGATTTCAGCTCGTCAGTTTCGGAGTTATGTAAGAGAGAGACTTGCACACGATAGCATAACAGGTGCACGTGTTAGCAATCATAAACAATGTACTATTATGTGGATATCCAGGACCAGATGGTCGTAAATATAACAGTAACAATATAAGCAGTAAAATATATTTGCAAAATGACTTGAAGGATTTAGAGAGTGGAATATCCTGTATTTTAAAGGATGAATGTCTATCATGAGTTTTGGGTGAAGGTACGATAATGTTGCGATACTTCGCAAACACAAGTCCCGATTTGATATTCACACGTGCACGAACTGTTCAAAAAATAAAGAAGAGTTGTTAATCCATTGTTAAAAGTTATGGCCTCCGAGGCAGAGTGAACTGACTAATCTAAATATGAACATGTATATGGTGGTATGTGGTTGATGCACGTAGCGTGCACCAGTGGACAAGCTGTTGCAAGTGTCAAAGCATTGTCCCCCGAACACGTTCCGTTTTGTGGTTACAACATTGAACAACTGAACAACTGAAGAGCAGACCTACCGCAAGCGATAATCTTCGTTCACTTAAGCTTTTTGTCTGAATGAGTTCGAGAAAACGGTCGCGTAATTATCGCCCGTTTTTACACCATTTCAGAAGTGTACATATTCCCCACAAGTGAAATGTTGCGACACACATTTAAATACCAATTAACTGTAATATAACACAGATAATAGTTATTTCAGGTAAGTAGCTATGAATCTTCTCGGACAATACCAATATGTATGATAAAAGTGATGATTTCAATTTCCCTATTGCAAATTTTCCATTTCTGGATGGAAACACCTTGCACCGCCAACCTATGTTGTTAACATGTCCCAGTTAATTCGATATCCAAGGGCTTGTTTCCATTATCACGATTTTCGTGCAAGAAGTTGTCAACTGACAGGCAAGCTTCTAACACAGGGTTTCATAAGATGCAGGTCGATAAAAATTATGGTGAAGTTTCACGGTCGTCAAAATGACCACGTTGAGAAATATTATATTTGTTTTATACGAATCAGAAGACGCTTACCCTTCCGGAACACCTGGTTTTATTCTCCTTGTGCTTTTTCAAGTATATAGTTTACCCTTGTTTTATCGAGTTTGAGGTTGGAATATGATCGCGTTGACACGTTGGAATTTTCTTGATATTTTTAAAACGCATGTAAATGAATATTTGCGTGAGGATAGATGTGTTTCTTATTAGATAAATATGATTTCACTATCGCCGAAACTGTGCTTTGTCGTTACGCGTCCTGTGACCCCGTTCCACATTTAAACAATACATATTCAACAGTTTAAGTCGGCCGTCTGTTTGGCGAGAGAGACGGGTCACAGTGTGTATATAAATTAATGTACCATTACGACTGAAATATTGAATTACTGAAAATCGTGTCCAAAATCTATTTGGGTGCAGCTAGGTTGAAAACGGACTCTGTTTGTTGTGTTAAGGGCAAAGATTGAGTTAAAGGCTGATGTAAAAGAAAGTGTCGTGTCCTTGATTTCCAACATGTTCAAGGAGATTCCCGTCTTCTAAAAAGGAATTTGAAGGTCGTTGTGACCTGTTTTGTTCGATAAATTTAGCCTCATATGATAACAAATTCTAAATCAGCAAAAAGTGGGACACTATTTCTTTCCATTGGTATGTAATCGGTCTGTAAGAAAATCGTCAAACATCACGATGGTATTGTCAAAAAGAAGCCCGGTCTTTTTTCATAATATCATCCCCGGTAAACTTCTTTTTGGCTTTAGACTTACTTTCCAAACACCCGCTAGTAACCTCACAACCTCACAACCATGTGTTCACTTTCTTTGAAAAGAAAACTTTTAAAACAAGAAAATGAATGTCTTCCTTCAGTTTGGAATGAGGTTTGGTAGTGTTAAGGTTTTTCAGAAGAGGGATAAGATTGGATGAAAAATACTTTGAAGGTATTTAACATCCACATACCATCAACACCCCTTTATTTTTGTAAACAGTATCAAAACACTGTAACATTGATCTGTTAGTACTAAGAGAAGTACAAGAAACTTTGTAGTTTGTATTTCGTCCTTTATTTTGCTATAGAGCAAGCCTTGTTTATCTGTATGCAGCACATGTAACCATATTTACATGTAACACACAAGGATCAGATGACTGGATTCTGCAGACACATTTATATATTTGTTATGAGAGTAATGTATGGGCTAAACATCGGGATGTGTGAATACAGACTTCTTTTTCTCTGGTAGTTTTCTACGAAATCTATAGGTATCTTGAAAATCACACTCCAATTTTCACGAAATTTCGGGCCCTTTATGAAAACCTCATTTCACTTGTGTGTCTTTTGTACAATATTAGTGCCAAAATTTCAGTTGTAAAGGAAAAAAATATATATTCACAGAAGCCCATATATTACTGACAACATTTGAAAGAACAGTAAAGCATTACTTTTATGTTGTTAATAGTGTTCTATCCTTACTTCTATTTTCAGTTGCAAATGCCGAAGTCCAGCGTGTTTGGGGCAAGCATGGTAAACCCTTCATGCAGGGCCTCCAATTCATGTATTCCTTTGGAGTCTCTGTGGCACCACTGGTAACCATCATATTTATGGAGAGTTCCTCAGGGGACAGAGAGGTTACTCTGGAGCATAACCTAACGCTAACAAATAACTCATCAATTCTAAACAAAACTCTTATATCACAAAATCAATCGTCTCCAGCTGGAAATGAAAGCTTAGTTCCTGAAGAGTTTACGTTCGTAAGAAGTACTGAGTTGTATAAAGTATTTATCATCGGGGGTTCTATAAGTTTATTTTCCTGTGCAATGCATCTTATATTCTACTTTAAATTTGATAAATGGAATAAAACAACCCAAAAAGAAAACGAAACTAAAACTCCAACGAAATCGAGGCTGCCTTTAGCTCTACAGATTCAGTCCATATTACTTATGGCTGGTATACAAGCATTGCTTACTGGAATAGATGACACCTGGATAGCATTTCTTACAACATTTTGTGTCAAGATGTTTGATTGGACGAAAGCAAGAGGCGCCTTGTTAACGTCAGTAAGCAGTTTCGTGGCCGTTGTCGGTAGATTCATGGCGATTTTTCTAGTTCAGGTAATTTCCCCCAGAAAACTTGTAGGAATTCACAGCTTGTTCACACTTCTTGTGTTTATCGGATTCTACATCAGCGCACTATACAAATCAGACATTGGGATGTGGATTGTTTCGTTGGTGTTTGGGTACGCTAAAGCCCCAGTTCTCGCTTGTGTATTCTCTTGGACAGATGAGGTTTTCTTACCGGTGACAGGTCGAATTTCTTCTCTATTCATAGTGTTTATGACAGCAAGCTCCGCTAGTAATCCGTTAATTCTGGGATTCCTGATGGATAAATTCTCCAACATGTGGTTTTGTTATCTCTTTCTGGGTGAAAGTTTTCTGTTGGTAATTGTTGTCGTGTCGGCGTTATTGTTGACGAGGCGGGTCGTGCGGAACTACGGAACGAATTACAGACCTCAAGATGGCGTGATCAAGAGAAAGGAAAGGTTGCCTGTCATTGGTACTTCAACTGTGTAAATTATAAGCAGGTTTGTTATTTTCTTATCAGAGATAAGAATTTGTAGACATGTTCTTTAAAGTGTTAAATCACCATCATCATGCTATCCTTATTCGGTATTCTTTTCATTGCTCGATAGTATATTTTCGTTTGGCCTCGTAATTACGGTTTCCCTTCTGGTTCAAACTCTTATTCTCAATCTTCTAAACATTTCTTGTCCGTGCAGTAACTTTTAAATCTCTATCTTATTGAAAGTTATTGTGTATTACCTAGCCTCTATCTGCAGTACACTGGTGTTAGGTCACTGTGACCTGATTTCAAGGTCAAAGGTCAGAATATTTATTCAAGGGATGACCCAACTTGCTTGGCACATTGTCGAATCCAGCCTAACTATAATGGTCTTTTTAGGGATTTCAGTCACAGTACATTGTTCTGTAGATACATGGTTAATAAGAGAGGATAAGTCACAACTGTGTACAAAACTTGATATTCTGCCTGTTCTTAGTAATATATAAAAAACGACGAGGACCCATATTGTAATCATATATACAACATGTGTTATATATTGTAATATACTTGTCTTGACCATCGTTACCAAAATTTACCTGCATTGTGTTAAGTGACATAATGTCAAATAATATTATTGAGAACACATTGGAGGATATTTTGGGGGTCAGTCCGGAACTCTTGTTGAAAAGCACATTGCTTTTCCTTAATCTTGAAAATGTAATCTTGTTTTTGGACTTTTTTCTCTCTGGAAATAAAAATCTGCCTGTAGACAGTAATGTAAAGATATTTAGAAATGTGTTCAAATTCATTCAATTTAGCAATAGATCTGAAATTACAAAAGTCTAATTTGTTTGCTTAATTCGGAGATCAAAGTACTTGTTATAGAGTGTAGCCATGATGGAAATACACTGCCATACATTTGGTAAATCTTTATTTAGAATTGTTTTATTCAGATATTAAGTATTTTTGCGTCCATTGGCTGCCTCAACTGCCCATCAAAGTTTGTTGGTAAATAGATGCGACCTAATGGCGCCCTATGTTTGCAATTGTTTGTTTGTTTTTTTCTTTTCCAAGAAAGCACGGGGAATGTACCGTGTCATTGATTGAGGGCAAGACATCGCGAAAGCCTCCGTCCAGTATAAAAATATCGTCAGACATCATCCATGTGGATATGTTGTTTGTAACAAAGATATGCTTTGTGATACATGCAACGATGAACGGCTCGGCTATACTCACAATATAACAATCAGTTGCTACGATCATCACAGGTTTAATGAAAATATGCTGTTAGCATTGCGCTGAAACCGGTGTTCTTATCTTTTCTATATATATAGATATTTAAAGAGATATGTGGCAGCCATTTTTAAGATAACTGTGTCAGAAATGAAATTGGAAAATATCTGCACGGAAAGATCAGTGGTGTTCTTTTCAAGAACACTCTCCCTGGTAATGTGGTGGACCAGAGATTAAGAAGAAATTCCGTCGACAAAGCACATCTAACCGCTGTTACGTGAGCTGTTATTCGCCTGTAACTCTATGCCACAAAGAGTCTCGATCGTCCTTCAATGACAAACAGAGAACTCGTGTCTAAGATGTTAAGTACATTGCACACTATATTATGCAAAACGATGAAGCATTTTGTTTTTTTAAAATTCCTTACGAAAATGTTTCAGTGTGGACGCAGAATGCTAGTATATAAAGCTAGTAAAACAAACTAGTATAGCAAGGGATTAGGATGAACAGAGGCACGGGTTACACAGTAACAAGTGTAAACAGAGGCACGGGTAACACAGTAACAAGTGTAAACAGAGGCACGGGTTACACAGTAACAAGTGTAAACAGAGGCACGGGTAACACAGTAACAAGTGTAAACAGAGGCACGGGTTACACAGTAACAAGTGTAAACAGAGGCACGGGTAACACAGTAACAAGTGTAAACAGAGGCACGGGTAACACAGTAACAAGTGTAAACAGAGGCACGGGTAACACAGTAACAAGTGTAAACAGGCACGGGTAACACAGTAACAAGTGTAAACAGAGGCACGGGTAACACGGTAACAAGTGTAAACAGAGGCACGGGTAACACGGTAACAAGTGTAAACAGAGGCACGGGTATCACAGTAACAAGTGTAAACAGGCAAGGGTTACACAGTAACAAGTGTAAACAGAGGCACGGGTAACACAGTAACAAGTGTAAACAGAGGAACGGGTTACACAGGAATAAGTTTATACAGAGGCACGGGTTACACAGGAGCATGTTTAGACAGAGGCACGGGTTACACAGGAATAAGTATAGACAGTGGCACTGGTTACATAGGAACAAGTATAGACAGAGGCACGGGTTACACAGAAACAAGTATAGACAGTGGCACGGGTTACACAGGAATAAGTATAGACAGTGGCACGGGTTACACAGGAATAAGTTTAGACAGAGGTATGGGTTACACAGGAATAAGTATAGACAGTGGCACGGGTTACACAGGAATAAGTATAGACAGTGGCACGGGTTACACAGGAATATGTATAGACAGTGGCACAGGTTACATAGGAATAAGTATAGACAGTGGCACGGGTTACACAGGAATAAGTATAGACAGTGGCATGGGTTACACAGGAACAAGTTTAGACAGAGGCAGGGGTTACACAGGAATAAGTATAGACAGAGGCACGGGTTACACAGGAATAAGTATAGACAGAGGCACGGGTTACACAGGAATAAGTATAGACAGAGGCACGGGTTACACAGGAATAAGTATAGACAGAGGCACGGGTTACACAGGAATAAGTATAGACAGTGGCACGGGTTACACAGGAATAAGTATAGACAGAGGCACGGGTTACACAGGAAAAAAGTATAGACAGTGGCACAGGTTACACAGGATTAAGTATAGACAGTGGCACGGGTTACACAGGAATAAGTATAGACAGAGGCACGGGTTACACAGGAACAAGTTTAGGCAGAGGCACGGGTAACACAGTAACAAGTGTAAACAGAGGCACGGGTAACACAGTAACAAGTGTAAACAGAGGCACGGGTAACACAGGAAAAAGTATAGACAGAGGCACGGGTTACACAGGAATAAGTATAGACAGTGGCACGGGTTACACAGGAATAAGTATAGACAGTGGCACGGATTACACAGGAATAAGTATAGACAGAGGCACGGGTTACACAGGAATAAGTATAGACAGAGGCAGGGTTACACAGGAACAAGTTTAGACAGAGGCACGGGTTACACAGGAGGAAGTTTAGACAGAGGCACAGGTTACACAGGTGTAAGTATAGACAGAGGCACGGATTACACAGGAACAAGTATAGACAGTGGCACGGGTTACACAGGAATAAGTATAGACAGAGGCACGGGTTACACAGGAATAAGTATAGACAGAGGCAGGGTTACACAGGAACAAGTTTAGACAGAGGCACGGGTTACACAGGAGGAAGTTTAGACAGAGGCACAGGTTACACAAGAGTAAGTATAGACAGAGGCACGGGTTACACAGGAACAAGTTTAGGCAGAGCTACGGGTTACACAGGAATAAGTTTAGACAGAGGCACGGGTTACACAGGAGCAAGTTTAGACAGGCACGGGTTACACAGGAATAAGTATAGACAGAGGCACGGGTTACACAGGAGGAAGTTTAGACAGAGGCACGGGTTACACAGGAGTAAGTATAGACAGAGGCACGGGTTACACAGGAACAAGTTTAGGCAGAGCTACGGGTTACACAGGAATAAGTTTAGACAGAGGCACAGGTTACACAAGAGCAAGTTTAGACAGGCACAGGTTACACAGGAATAAGTATAGACAGAGGCACGGGTGACACAGGAATAAGTATAGACAGAGGCACGGGTTACACAGGAACAAGTTTAAGCAGAGGCACGGGTTACACAGGAGGAAGTATAGACAGAGGCACGGGTTACACAGTAACAAGTTTAAGCAGAGGCAGAGGTTACACAAGAACAAATATAGACAGTGGCACGGGTTACACAGGAATAAGTATAGACAGTGGCACGGGTTACACAGAAACAAGTATAGACAGTGGCACGGGTTACACAGGAATAAGTATAGACAGTGGCACGGGTTACACAGATACAAGTATAGACAGAGGCACGGGTTACACAGGAATAAGTATAGACAGTGGCACGGGTTACACAGAAACAAGTATAGACAGTGGCACGGGTTACACAGGAGTAAGTATAGGCAGTGGCACGGGTTACACAGGAACAAGTTTAGACAGGCACAGGTTACACAGGAATAAGTATAGACAGTGGCACGGGTTACACAGGAACAAGTTTAGACAGAGGCACAGGTTACACAGGAACAAGTATAGACAGTGGCATGGGTTACACAGGAACAAGTATAGACAGTGGCAGGGGTTACACAGGAATAAGTATAGACAGAGGCACAGGTTACACAGGAACAAGTTAAGACAGAGGCACGGGTTACACAGGAATAAGTATAGACAGTGGCACGGGTTACACAGGAACAAGTTTAGACAGAGGCAGGGGTTACACAGGAACAAGTTTAGACAGAGGCAGGGGTTACACAGGAACAAGTTTAGACAGAGGCAGGGGTTACACAGGAACAAGTTTAGACAGAGGCAGGGGTTACACAGGAACAAGTTTAGACAGAGGCATGGGTTACACAGGAATAAGTATAGATAGTGGCATAGGTTACACAGGAATAAGTATAGACAGAGGCACAGGTTACAGAGGAACAAGTTTAGTCAGAGGCACAGGTTACACAGGAATAAGTATAGACAGAGGCACGGGTTACACAGAAACAAGTATAGACAGTGGCATGGGTTACACAGGAACAAGTTAAGTCAGAGGCACGGGTTACCAAGTCCCTGTTGTTTGTATCGCGGAGAAAACTGTATGAATGCCGAATCTTTCTACGAATCTGGATATTTTTTGTTTTCAACAGTCGCTAAACTACAACGTAACAACCATTATAAAATGATGATATATTTATATACAAGACTGTTAACCATGTCATCTTGTTGAAAACCGTGATGTTGTAAAAGCAATCAGCACTAACTTTATATGTAGACAGATAATTTTTTTTAACTTTCTCTCTACAAACTGTCGAAATCCGAGATGGATGCCTGTCTGCCATGTTATTTTCTAATCAGTCCCATCATCGAAAATGCACATCCTTCTTAGGTGGGCTGTAAAATGTATACACTAGTTTGTTTTACTCATATAGACTAGTCCGCTTTACTCCCTCTCAATCTAAGGTGAGGTCCTGTAGGTGAGGAAACTCACAACTGTGATAAAAACCCTTCTTTCCTTAAAGATAATATGACAACAAAAGCATTTATTGATGGTAAATCAGCTTTACTTAACAACAGAATACAAACACACAAACAACTTTTGAATACATCATAATACTGCAGATCAATAAACATGTTATACATTTTGAACACATCAGAAGTAATACATTACTGTATGTATGTAAGGTGGGAGAGACAAGTTCATCAATGGAGGATTTTCTGAGATCTAATATAAACACATTACACAAGAAATTATTACTTCTGACGACTAGATACAATAGGATATACACTACAACTGGAATGTTTACAACTGTTTACAATACCTAACAACAACTAACAAAGACCTACTATACTGTATGTTTACATGGACATACTACAATATGATTGGCAGGCTGTGTATATCAACCATTACACATGTGTTTACATTTGTATATATGCATATCAAATCTTCCCTGTGTGTAACATTTTATACCATAAGAAGGGGGAGTAACTCTCTTTATTCAGTGCCCTTGATTTGTATCCCCTGTGGAACTCTATTTTTTTATATATATATATTTATATAATTATGTAATAGGAAAGAGTAATGAAAAACATCCTTTCAACGCTGGGGTTCAAACCAGCGATCCTTCAGTCTTTACCGGACACTCTTCCGCACAACTAAACTAGCCAAGGCTCGTAAGGTGACCTGTACTCTCAATTTCTACAATTACATGAAATAAAAAGTGCCAAACAAAACAAATAAATTCAATACTTGTGAACATAACTATTCACAATCTAGCTGAATAAAAATGTGTATAATTTAACTTGAATAAACATGATTGTAAACATACATAAAGTGTATTGTAAACATACATATAGTGTACATTGTATAAATACATCTTGTAGCGGTATGAGGAATAATGTAAATTACAACAAACAATCAACGTACAAGATTACTTTTCAAGCCTTGCTTAAAAATAACATGAAAAATATTTGTGTTTGGAAAAACATATTTCAAATTATAACAGATATATTTAAATACATAATAAAATGTTTATGTCTCGCACAAAACAACCAATAAAAAAAACAAAATCAAGTAAACAGAGTTTGGTTTGCATAAGGAAAATATAATTCAAATTACATCTTGAAGACATAAACATATAGGCAAGTTAACTTTTGAAGCCTTGCAGGAAACAACCAGTTAAAAAAAACCCAAACACGTGTAAACATACAATAGGTAAACATATAGGCAAGATAACTTTTGAAGCCTTGCAGGAAACAACCAGTTAAAAAAACCCAAACACGTGTAAACATACAATAGGTAAACATATAGGCAAGATAACTTTTGAAGCCTTGCAGGGAACAACCAGTTAAAAAAACCCAAACACGTGTAAACATACAATAGGTAAACATATAGGCAAGTTAACTTTTGAAGTCTTGCAGAAAACACATGAAAATCACATTCCTTTGGAAAAAATAAAAAATTTGAATAAATTTGACATTTGTAATCATTAAATTCCAATAAAAAGGTAAACACCTGAAGCCAGTTACCCGAGCAGTGAGTTCTAATTATCACCTACACTGAACCACTGGTTATCAACAAGCTTTAGCCTTCTAAATATGAAGTTCATCTGAGACAGGGGTGTAAATAAAAGTAAACAAGATTTCTTTCTCCAATTTCATTAATTTGATTTGAATCAGAAGACCCATAAATAACATAAACTTTACCACTATGAAAAGTTACATCAACACATATCACATATCACTTGCTATTGTCAATTAAATCACTTCAAGCAAAATTGAGGACAAAATAAGGAATCAAAATTACAAGATCAAGACTAGCAAAATAGAGAAGGAAAAAAACTTCGCAAAATCTGATAAAAAAATTAGAAAAGTAAATGGAGAAAGGAATCAGAAACATTATATATATCACTATTTTGTAAATTACATCTAAATCAGTCATTTAAATTCAGAGATAAGTGCAATACATTATATACAAAACAGTGTTGGCAAATTCAATGTTTTAAGCAAGAAATTACCATTTACAATTTTCCAGATACAATCCATCTACAAGACGGGTAAATACAATAAGTCACAGGAATTTTTTTTCTTATTCTTTAGTCCTTGATTTTGGATGGTATCAGATGCTGTTTAATCCATACAATAAACACTCTTAAGAATGCCCACACAGTTTTGTTTTCCATAAACTTGAAGAGACAACATCACCATCCGCAATACAAATTGTGAATCTCTACAGTGTCTAACACTTATCAAGTTATTTCCCTCATTTCTTCTTTAGAAATCCTGGAAAACATATAAACTTGGATACTGAAGTTTGGCCAAGGTACATGTTTCCCTTCTATAAATAAGATCTCATCTGTTTCTGTACCTCATCTATATCTGTAGTAGTGTCTTTTATGTTGTAATTGTTTTTATGTTATAAAAACTTCCTCGCCATCTGAAAGCATAATTGGAATGAGACAAAATTCTACATTTATGAACTTGGATAAAAGTAAGTTCAGTAAGCTACACATGTACTCAGTTGATGAAATTTGTTTATGAATGCCCTCATGTATACAGCACAGGTACCAACCATATCTAAAAGCTGTCCAATATGTTAAACAATGCAAGTAGTCTTTATGGTGGACATCCTCAACAGATATTGAATCTATCCAATGTGACAATAGCTGACCAACGTTGACATCCGAAAATCCGTATGTAAAGTAATTTTAAGTCCCAAACTGTCTGTTACCTTAACTTTTACAGAGTTGGCAAGCCATAGACTGTCCAACATTTTGCATAAAAACAGTTTTTGGCTTACCTCTATCTTTTACCTGTATAACAGTATGTATTTTCATGACCTTTGCCCTATGATTTTTTTTGTCTTTGTAATTCATGGAAATCCATTAACTGTTTATCCTCTGGCTATCACTGCCTTACCAGGAATATCAAACTGCCCAGTTGTTAATACATTTTTTACCTTGAGAGAATTCTGAAAACTTGAAAGTATAACACATAGTGCATTTGCAAAGTTCAAGACTGAAATTTAAATTTGAAATGTTTTAAATAGTAGTGTGGGAATTTAAATCCAAACAGGATCACTAGTAATCTAACTAAATGCTTAAATTGATGATCAATTGTATTTCATACAATTGTGTTAACTGCGAAGACGTTATGTAAGCATAGTCATTCCTTTGGCGTTTTTTTTTTCCTTAAATCATCATTACTTAAAAAATTTCAACATTTGTAAAAATTGAGTTCAAAATTACACATTTGAAGAAATATCTGTGAAACTTTCATAAACATTTTTTCATCAAACTCTTTCATCATTTCTCCCATGTCTTCCATACACTTAATTTCAAGTTCTTGCAAATTTTGGACAATCATCTGACCCTTGGGATCATCCTTATCAACTAGTGATTGTAGATTTTCATGCCCAAGGTACAAAGGGTGTTTTCGATCAACTTGTCCTTGAAAACGAGGTGATTTCTTGGCAGGGTCATCATCTCCATATGCAGGGGAAGTTGTCAGATCACCTATATTGGCCTGCGGGCAGAAGATGAATGGTTTAAAGATGCTGGTACTTGGGTTTGGTGTGGCTGTGAACCAGTGACAAGGAGGTGTGGCAGAATCCGGGGGTGGAAGCACCGACACTTGGCTAGCCATGGTGGTAAATGTACCACTCATATTGATACCACTGGACTCATCACGAAGGACCTTACACATCTCCTCAACCCCAATCTGGCCTGTCAACAACAAATAACAGTCAATTATTATTGGAAATGATAAAAATTTAACGTTTTTTAACAAACATGGAAGCATCCAAACATTAACCAGAATTTGATGAAACATAAAAAATATGTTCACAATAAACAAAGTCTGCAATACTTGCCAAGATCAAATTCATGTATGAATCAGATAGTAAAATACTTCAATATGATGAAAAAAAAAATAAAACAGTAAAACAGTATCCTCCATTTTGCCAAAATTTTCCAATCATATAAACAACAATAATAAGGACGCCTGATGAATAGTGAACCCTATCCAATCTATTTACTGACTATTGAACAGGCAAAGAATGAAAAAATAAAGAAAAGTTTTCATTATATTTACTATTACACAAAGAATGATCAAGTTATCTATTTGTTCTGTTGATCTGGGATACTTTTCTTGAGATAATATAAGATTATTTAAATATAAAAATTACACTCTTTGTTCATACAGGACTACACAGAATCCTACATAGAATTTGAGTGTGTGGAGGAACCTTATGATATGTGATTTCACCTTATACATAAAACAAAAAAAATAAATCAACCTATCATTTTACCTTTGGAAGCGAATTCCTTAAGAAGACGTTTTCCATGGAGGTACCTTGCAGACCCTGGCGAGATGGAGGAACACCCAGATGATTCCTCTGAAAACACACGATAAAAGTTGAAGTCTCCGTCTTCCTTTCTGTATAGCCCCGCCTCCTCAGCTGCCTCTATCAGGCCAGGAGAAGACAAATCAATCTTGGTTGTGATTGACAGCTCATTTGACACATTGTGGATTCCTGAAAGAGATGGGTAATATTTTTAGAAATCAATTAAAGTATACTAACAATGAATTATTCTTGAACTAGACAGTTCAGAAATTAACAGTTCCCGATAGAATGTGAAATTATGTGCAAAGTATGCACAGCTGATGAATTAAGCAGAAACTATTGAAGACAATGTGCCACAAAAACAAACTTGTTCCATGAAATCCATCTTTTTTAACTGGCAAATATAGCTTTTCTTTTCATACATGACTCAATGTCTCACCTAGGTCAACCCATGTTCTAAGTATGAAGTTCCAGTGACAGGTAAATTAGCTGACGGAAACCCTGACAATATTTTTGTTTGATGCATGTCAAATTAAAGTGACCTACGTTTGGTAGGAACAAAGGGAGACCTACACACATAAATCCATGATGACCACCTATCAGCCATTTCTTTTTAAAAATTTTTTTGCTCAGTCTCAAAATAGATAACATACAATTACAATGCAGAAACCATGCAGAGTCTACAAATGATCTGGAAAAATGATCCACCTAGTAGTGCCAAAACAAGAGGCCCAAGGGGCCTGCATTGCTCATCTGGCTAATCTAATTCAGTAATGAAGTCATTTAAACAGAATTCCAGATATGACAAACTTATAAACTGCTATAATAATTTTCCTTTTGGGTCTTAGGCTTGTGGTCAGACAGAGGTCAAATTAACAATTCATTCAAATTTCTTCAGACCAGTCAGGAAGGAATTTTAAGAGGTAGGTGAGCTTTATCAGGTCTTGTTTAATCTGTAGACCTGTAATTGTACACAGTTCCATAAGTTCCAACATCAAATGATAAGAACCTTCAAGTTTTACTGCTGCCCAGTGAGAAGCGACAGTTTCCAGAAGCCAAGCCTCTGAGGAGTCCGCCAGTACATAACTGTTGTGGTAGGCCATTTTTGTAAGTCCTGGTTCCTCAGCACATGGTCCTCCCTGTCCGTACTGTCCCAGTAATCCAGTGATAATGTCAACACTCTCCCGGGCACTTTTAGATCTCTCCAGACCCAACCTGAAATCATGACAGTATTACCAGCGTACAGCATTCTGATGTCAAACTTAACTTCCAATCTACATTGATATCATTTATACAATATAATCTTCATTTACTATGTTTGGTTGATTTACTGCCCTGTAAACAGTCATGGTCATTTTAAGACAAGGCCTACTTGATGTATTGGGTTACTACTTCACCGAACAATATAAAAGAGGCCCTATCACATGCCATCAAGAGTATTTAGATTAAAGTGTCTGGCCCAAGGATAAAACCAAAAAGGTGCAGCCTTGTCCATTCCTCAGAGTAAAGAGTATCAGACCATGCACCCAAGATCTTCCCTTAACCAAAAGGCTGTGTAGGTCAACAAGACCAGCAGCAAAGAAAAAATGAAAATTTTTTTTAAAATGTTCAATGCATATACATTATATAACTGTATATTTTTACCCCTTTTTTCCTCATCACTGAATTACATAATATGATCAGCACTGTTAAACACTCAATTTCACATCACTGACTTACACTTTTCCATTTTATTGCAAAAAGCAATAGGTCTCGCAATTCATTTCCAAAAAATTCTAAGAGCACAGGACTTGGAACTTGTGTGTAGATTGATCACTGTTACACGTTTTTCACATCACTGACTCTGCAATAATATTACCCCCAGTAACAAATGATACATGATATGCTTTCCTTCAGTTTGAAATACTGCCATTACCTCCCCTGATTTCAAACTCTCCTTTATATCTCCTAGCTACCTGACAAAGTCCATGCCGAGTAATTTCTCCTTTAGGTCATCAGGGCCATTGAGTTTAGACCACACAGCCACATTACCAATACACAGACCGTGCTCATTAGCGCCCATCTCAGCACCCCACATCCAGGCTGGCTTTGTTAGGATCACTGCATGTGTGTGTGGCACTTGATCTACCTCCATGTAAGTACACTACAAAGATTTATACATTAAGATCAGCACTGTGTAGATAAAAACCCATGTTGACATTTTAATCAAGCTGATGCCTAAAACTGACTTCTGAACAACTCAATTAAAAAAGTGAAACTATAAAAGGACTGCAATTTATTCATTCTAAGATGTGAATTCAACCAGGATGAAAATGGACCAAGTAGCAAACTCATTTTGATTGAAAATTCTATAATACTGATATTTTTCATTTGCACTTCAATCTCCAAAAGTGAAAAGGTTGACTAGCCACACTATCCTTCTCAACCAAAGTCTTCCCCAGAATCTCTGTTACAGTATTATTTACAACTCAGTTGAAACATGCTCCTGTCAAGTGAAAACACAAGTTGAAAACCATTAAAAGGTACCTCTGTAACTTTGGACTATTATTGGTATAATTAAGCATATTCTAACAGGGACCTAGGTTTCTCCCTAAGGTTTTCAATAAGAAGTTCCTGAAATACAGATAAAACAACTTTACATGCAATGTACTGTAATTATACATAATTGGGTGCGATCAAATTTTGGCAAGTTAGCACATAATATTCAAACATCCACAAAATTTAATACTGTAAATCTCTTAGATTTTGTGAATGCTTTATTTTGTGAACTTACCTCTTTAGAACGGTGGTCTAGAACTGACTTTAAACTCGTGAATGATTGGCTATTAGATATATGGACAAAACTGGTGAATGAATCAGCATAGACGTCATCAACAGTTATTTCCATAGAAATAATCAGGAGGGATTTGAGTTTGTGATTGACTCTCCTAGTGTATTAAAGTGAAAATAACTCCCACACATAATTTAAGTGATTTACAGTATGTAACCAGCATATAGAAACTACCATTAGTGCAATCATATTTCAACGTACAACTTTCAGCAGGAAAAGTGCCAAAATGAGATTACCACTAAAATATGTATGTTTATAGTATTGTTTTCATTTTCTACACACCATGACTTTTGATCCCTCCTCATGGTCTTGCTTAGGCACATGGATGACTTCTTGAACTTCTCCTGTTGGTCTATCAGTGTTCTTTCCAAAAATGACACAGCCATCACTAGTAGCTGGTGGCAAAGCCACAAACATATCACAAGGCATCTCCTTGACCGAACTGTAAAAAAAAACAAATAATAATGTACTGGGTTAACAAGGACGAACATAGCTGGATGTGAAAAGATGTCATCAACAAGGACAGACATAGCTGGATGTAAGGGAATGCCATCAACAAGGACTGAAATAGCTGGATGTGGAGAGATGTCATCAACAAGGACGGACATAGCTGGATGTGAGGGAATGCCATCAAGAAGGATGGACAGAGCTGGATGTGAGGGAATGCCATCAACAAGGACGGACATAGCTGGATGTGAGGGAATGCAATCAACAAGGACGGATGAATTATGTTGAACAGTACAGTGTTGATATATAACAGGGAGTATTTTACATCCCTTACTCTATGTATGCTTTATAGAGAAAATAAACAAATTTGCAACTGAAATATTAACACAGAATATGTTGAGGTGTATGATTTTAATCACTTTTTTTTTTATTCTTTCTGGAAGCATGACATGTTACAGCAACCAAAATTATCCAGGCGCAAGGTCATGCAGGTCCACAGTGCATGTAATACACCTCAACAAAAAGGCAATTCTGAAATACATAACGGTCCAGAACCGATGTCCAGATAGGTTAATATTTGTTCTACTTGTTGTTTTTGCACAAAAGATCTACAGAGCTAATGTTTGCTTTTAATAATTAATTTAACTGCAAGGGGCGTGGTTTATTATTCATTGCCGATTTTATTCACTTTACAAATCAGGGAGGGATTAAATGATAACTTCATCATATCTTTGAGGACATAAATATGGCATATATATAAAAATGTGTATTAAGAAAAATGTACACAAAGCTAATGAAACATATAAAACAAATTACTGCATATAACTATATAGTCTATTGATTATATATTATAGTGAATAGATTTCATCAAAGCTTAACATGTTACCGCTACCAAATTCATCCGGGTGCAAGGTCACGCAGGTCAATAGTTCATGTGATACAGATCGCCAAAAACCCATAGCGATCCTGAACTAATGTCTTAACGATACTCAGACATATCCATGTACTGTACTTTTCACCTTTGATTAGCGATGAAAAAATGGGACCGGTTGTTGTTTAATCTTCAAGTCTGGCAAAAAGATGGAGATTTCAAGTCCAGTTGCAGCATCAGCAGCCAATATCCGGAAGTTACGTCACAAAAACTTTAATGGTTCACACTGCTTCACTTTTCATGTGGTGTGATTTCGTATCGTGAAAGAAAAACGACGTCTATATCAGTCAGGTTAGAAACACGAACACGTTTGGAATCAGGGACAATATTGAGTCATTGATCACATTAATAACGGTTGTAATCTAATTTAAAAAATCACGTGCTTGTAAACAAGGCTTTTTCCCCTTACAATGTCATATTCATATTGGACGTTGTTTCGCTGACGATACAAATCCAGAACACCTGAAATGGACGGGCAAGTATATTACGATCATGAATGAACGGAGAGAGTACACGTAGCGGTGGGGAGGGGGCAATTTCAAGCTTTCACTAGTTATTTTACCTTATATTATGTTACCATATGTTGGGTTTGTATCTTGCCGAGAAGTCATGAGTTGGTTCTCCAGATTTTTTATCGTGTCTATTTGTGTGTTCACATTTGATGAGACCACTTTCTCTGGTAAGTTATTCAAGTACACTTCTATTCTTAGCATGAACAGATCTTGGCAGCAAGTGTTTTTGGAAATTCTCATTACTATGTGCATATTCCAGTATTGATCATACGCTTTAGATGATAATACAAATGTCCTCTTGTCCAACTATTTTAAGATCTACATATGAGCCTGACTGATCTGTTAGCTTTATTCAAATGTACTTGTTTTACATAATTATGGATCTTGTATCCTGTCCCATATTCCTCAGTCAAATAGTCATAACTTTACACTTGTGAAAGAACATGGAAAACCAGCATTCCCATCAAGTGCCACAACTGGGAATCATACCCGGTGTCATATCATATTTGTATCCCCCATCAGAAAATGATCTGGATCACTTTTCCTTCATCAAAAAAGGGTCTGGGGATCACTTTTCCCCCATAAGAAAAGAATCCCCCCCTATAGTATTTTGATCCCCCTTGTGAATTTTATTTTGAACTTGATAGCTTTATAAATAAAATGAGATATGATAGGTAACTGTGTCTGGGACTTGGTCACTGATACCTGGGTTACCTGTACAGGTGTGATTACATAACACCTGTGGAGCCAAGGCTGAAGAGGTCAAGCTCCAGATTACCCTGTACAGGAGAATAATAAGCTTTTATGTAAAATGATGACCTCAATCTGTAATGGAATTTATCCACAGGTAACTTTAATTGATCACTCAGTATACCTGCCCTGTGCACATGGGTGCTCACTCAGGTTTGACCCCTCTACCCTTAATCCTCTTATGTAATTGACTGGTTGGCCAGGTGTAATTAACAACTTCACAGCTAACATAACACCTATCATCATATTTTCACTATCACCCTAAATATATGCATATATGCATTGTTGATATAACTTCTCTTAAGGGGGATCAAAATACTATAGGGGGGGGTCATTTTCTGATGGCCAGAAAATTATCCGGATCCTTTTCTGATGGGGGATCCAAATATGATATGACACCGGGTCTCGGGCATGATAATCTGCCGACTCTAACAACTGAGAAGCATGCTTTGTAAGCTAAGTGACAGAGACCTCTTTTAAAACTATATACAAGCCACACAGACCCTCTCCTTTTACAGTTAATACACCCCTATCTTTTTTGAGATTTCCTAAATCCCAACTGGAGACTCTTAATACCACAACCTGTCGGATTTTGTTGGGCACCTAAATGAAAAATACGCATTCCCGTCAAGTGTCCCAACCAGGAATCAATCTCTAGTGTTGTAATTGACTGGCTCTACCAACTGAGCCAAAGAAGCATGCTCTGGCAGCTGAGTGACAGCTGCTTATAAAACACTATACACAAGTCACACCAACCTGCTCCTCATACACACCAAAAAAAAAAAAAAAAAGAAAATGAAAGTTTGTTATCGTTATTTCATGAGATTTTCTATGTAGGTTCTCCTTGGTTCCTAGATAGTTGGTTTATGGACTGATCAGAAAAATGAAATGGCTGACAGGCAATCAAGTATTTGACAGGAATCGATTACGGTATTACCATTGTTTTTTAAAAGGAATTTTCAAATTTCACATAATCTAGAGCAAGAACTGAGGAAAGAAAGAGAATATTTTTTTTGGCGTACATATTTCACTACAAACAGAAGAACAATGAAAGTATGCACACTGACCATCAGCTGTTTCTGAAATAGTTTGTATTCTATTGATGGAAATCTTTTTTGTATTTTGTTGCAGGTATTAGAAGATGCGTACAAACATGTACTGGCATTGACAGTAATAAACTACCGTATAGCTTATTGTCAGTCTTGAAGATCTCGCATCATCAGCAGAACTGATGTGACAAGTAAGACTCTCCTTATAGAAGATGGAAACCCAGCAGTGTGTTGTGATACTACATTGTACCAAGATATTATCTACAGGATGATTAGACAAACCAATCTGGAGTCAAGTATTAAGGACGTTATTAAATAATGAAGCGACGAAGTAGTCTGCGATGTTGTGTGACGCTGACGTTTGTATGCGTTGTATGTCTGAGTCTGGTACAGATTTATAACTGGGTCACGTTTAGTTCTGTACATGACGGCCACCTGTCAGGTAAGATGTACCTTCTCTTGTGAACAATAATAACGGTAAGAAATGGTGAGCATTGTTGGCTTCCAACTTCATCTTTTATTTAGGAAATCTAGAGAGAAATTTTAGAAATTTTTTATTAATGGAAAAATCTTACAAATGTTTGCCACAATGCTGAAATTATATTGGCAGCAAGTTCCCAGTATTAGATGTGTGATTAAAATATCTAATTTTAAGTTCAATAGGTGCATAATATATAAACCATGTTTAGGTATATACAATCAATTATGATTCGTTACATATACAATCAATTTGTTTTTCTAGGTAAAAACCATTTAGTAGCAAACAGATATCAGAGTTACAGGAAAACGAATTTGACACAATCAAGTGCCTTTATCGAAAAAAAGGACAAAGATGGTTACTTGGAATATGTTATTAAAGATAACAGCAACCCTTTCTTGCGGGATCACTACGACATAAAAAAACTGCACAACCTTGGAGTGATCCGAACACCAGAAGACCAACATTTGAGAGATGATGGTAATTATGCATAAAATATGCATACTGCATGCCAAATTCCATTCTTAAGTTATGTTGGCCTCTATTTATACTTTGGAAATTTCAGGTAAAATTCAAATGTCAAAGGTGGCCATCTTGGATTTCAAAAGTTGTACTGTGGTGTATTATCGCTATGGTTTTAGAATCCAGTATATGTACTGGATTGATAAATTTCAAATTTGATATGTACTATACTACAAATGATTAAAGATTTACCATTATTGCTAAAATATTCAGGTGAGTGATGCAGGTCCTCTGGACCTTTTGGTTTTAGAGTAGGCTCTGCCTTGAAGGAGATTGTAAATTTTTGTCATTGTTGCACAATGTCAATCAAAGCGTTTAAAAGTTTCACAAATTTTTGTGGTATGATTTCATTCACATGATTTATGGAGTGTAAAGAATAAAAGTTGGGAAATGTGTGGCATTTTAAATATTCCCGAACATTATCCATGACAAATCATTATAAAAAGATTTTGTATTGAAATATCTAAACCATTAAAATCGAAAATATGTTTGAATTTAATTTGTTTTTTTACCCTCTCATACACAGGTCACAGGCAGCATGCATTCAACTTATTGATAAGTGATAGACTTGGATTTCACCGTGCCATTCCTGACAGTAGGAATGAAAGGTAAACAAACATATCATTGAACTTTGTTATTTTGAAGTTGATGGAACTGTTTGAAAAGTTTGAGTTATCTGGGTGTTCAATTTAAGTGAGATGAAATGTTTGGTGAAAAGTTTGACAGGGACACACAAAATTCTTCAAATGAAATGGAGTCTTAGAGTTATACGAATTGTAGATAATGAGGTTAGACTGTACAGAAAACACGTCTAGCTACTGTAACCATATGTTACTACAGGTTTGTACAGTTAACTGTAAATGCTCTTGCTCTGAAGGCTATATGTTCATCTAACTTCAGTAAAATTTACTTATTTTGGTATGTAATCTAATTTTAGTGATAAAGATATTATGCAAAAATATGATTGTGTTTCTGAACAATAACTTCTCTTGAGGACCTGAAGTTCAAGCTTCAAACAATGCCATTGTTTAATGTTAAAGCTGAATTGTAGTTGAAAGTAGAGTTGATGATGATGGAGTCCAGTTCAAAGTACTTTAATCTTTTGATACAGGTATTAGGCCATGATGGAAGTATGGCTGACATCCAGTCATTCTTGAAATATGTTGAAAGTAGTTTAAACTTTGCATGTATTTAACTGTATACACTGAACATGTAAACAGTGTGGTAAGCATACAATAGCCATGCCTTTACCATAGGAAAGTTCAGGTGTAGAATAGTACTAGCCTGGACAAAAGCCATAGCAAGCAGGTGTCCCACCATTGGAGATTATCCTCTCTCCTGTCTGCCCCCCGTCCTTTGTTCCCCCCCCCCCCCCCCCCACCTCTTTCCTCTCATCTAGCAGATTGGTAGGTTGGTTGACGTGGGCATTGTCACTGACAATTGTTGGTGTTCTGGCATCTCCTTCAGAAGGGTGGAACCATCTGTAGCAGTGAATGTTTGATTATGCTAATTTTAGAAGATGGCTCCAGGGCTCATATTGCCTTATCCTAACTCTTGCAGTTTGAAACATGTCCAGAAGCTGAAAGGAAGAATTGGGGGCCTACATAGGTTTAGTTTCGTTTAGGGTAATTTTGAAGTCCATCAAATGCCTTAGAAAAAAATTGTATAGCCTAACATTATCCCTGACTATCTAGTAGACCAAGAGAGGTCTATTTATACCAAATGTTTGACACATAGGTAAGACATGGCATGTAATAATCTTCTTGTACATAAGGATTGGTTTTTGAGTGATCTTACATGACAAATGTATATGTGCCTTGATGATACCACCAGACATGCCCCAGGTATATGACAGTTACATGTACCTGAATGACCGTGTGAATGTAATGTTTCACGTTTTCATGGTTCAGGTCTCTCTGTGAACCACACACCATCTTTTTCTCCAATGCTATCAAGGGTAGCATACCAAGTCTTTTAATGTAGTTGTTGTCTCTGTAAAGCTGTTGATGTCCAATTTGCTTGTCTTACCTCCAGATACACTGCGTAAAGATAGAGCAGATGGTCACCCCTCTTAACACTAAAGCTTGTTGTAAAGTGTTGTGCTGTCTTGAAGTCAACAAAGGTTGTTGTAGAATGTACTGAGAGATAAAGGTTGTTGTAGAATGTACTGAGAGGTATAAGTCAGTTGTGGTCTGTTGTAGATTCAAGAAATGACTATACAGCTGCTGGGCCGTGTGTGTAGTAGCATGTGGACAAGTTGGTACATCACTACTAATTATTTAGCAGCAGTATTTGTACAAGGTCGATGGCTTGGGTAATTAAACAATATGATTATCCATAATTAAAAGTAGAAACCTGAACATTAAGGACTAATGTGAATACTTGAGTAAATTAGACAAAATAGATCAAAATTGATACAAATTAAGTGTTTCTTCCTGATGAAAAATGCATATTAGTTCATATTATTCAGCAATAATTTAACTAAATTATTGTTATTATGATTATTAATATTGTGAATTATTTAACTGTTTTTTTTTTCAATTTAGATATGTCATGTATAAAAGAAAATGTAATATTTGAATAAATTTTAATCTCCAATAAAGTACATATATTTAATTATAAATAAATCTCTTTATTTTATCTTTATTTTCAGTGTTATGTTAACATGAAGTAAAAATATATAAAACCTGATTTTTTTTTCAACTTTCAATTAAATTCCTGTCACTTCATATAATATAAGCTTCTGACGTAGACTAGATGGCACAGGTAACCTCAGGTAAAACACAGGTAAATATAGATAGATTCATCTGAAATAGACTATAATTATTTCCTCTGCCCATGTTATTTTTAAAAGTGGGCAAACATGCATATAGCCTTCAAGTGACAAGGTGATATCAATCTAAATCTTGTTTTTGATTGAGCATTAATGTTGGTTTGTACAGATACACATATGTGTGTGTAATTATAGATGTAAACTGATGTGTGTGTAATTATAGGTATAAACTGATGTGTGTGTAATTATAGGTATAAACTGACGTGTGTGTAATTATAGGTATAAACTGATGTGTGTGTAATTATAGATATAAACTGATGTGTGTGTAATTAAAGGTATAAACTGATGTGTGTGTAATTATAGATATCAACTGATGTGTGTGTAATTATAGATATCAACTGATGTGTGTGTAATTATAGATATCAACTGATGTGTGTGTAATTATAGATATAAACTGATGTGTGTGTAATTATAGATATCAACTGATGTGTGTGCAATTATAGATATAAACTGATGTGTGTGTAATTATAGATATAAACTGATGTGTGTGTAATTATAGCTATAAACTGATGTGTGTGTAATTATAGATATCAACTGATGTGTGTGTAATTATAGATATAAACTGATGTGTGTGTGTAATTATAGGTATAAACTGATGTATGTAATTATAGATATAAACTGATGTGTGTGTAATTATAGATATCAACTGATGTGTGTGTAATTATAGGTATAAACTGATGTGTGTGTAATTATAGATATAAACTGACGTGTGTGTAATTATAGATATAAACTGATGTGTGTGCAATTATAGATATAAACTGATGTGTGTGTAATTATAGATATAAACTGACGTGTGTGTAATTATAGATATAAACTGATGTGTGTGTAATTATAGATATAAACTGATGTGTGTGTAATTATAGATATAAACTGATGTGTGTGTAATTATAGGTATAAACTGATGTGTGTGTAATTATAGATATAAACTGATGTGTGTGTAATTATAGGTATAAACTGATGTATGTGTAATTATAGATATCAACTGATGTGTGTGTAATTATAGATATCAACTGATGTGTGTAATTATAGATATCAACTGATGTGTGTGTAATTATAGATATAAACTGATGTGTGTGTAATTATAGATATCAACTGATGTATGTAATTATAGATATCAACTGACGTGTGTGTAATTATAGATATAAACTGATGTGTGTGTAATTATAGATATAAACTGATGTGTGTGTAATTATAGATATAAACTGATGTGTGTGTAATTATAGATATCAACTGATGTATGTGTAATTATAGATATCAACTGATGTGTGTGTAATTATAGATATAAACTGATGTGTGTGTGTAATTACAGGTATAACCTGATGTGTGTGTAATTATAGATATAAACTGATGTGTGTGTAATTATAGATATAAACTGATGTGTGTAATTACAGATATAAACTGATGTGTGTGTAATTATAGTTATAAACTGACGTGTGTAATTATAGGTATAAACTGATGTGTGTCTAATTATAGGTATAAACTGATGTGTGTGTAATTATAGGTATAAACCGATGTGTGTCTAATTATAGGTATAAACTGATGTGGGTGTTATTACAAATGTTTAGGTGTATACACTGACTGATGTGTAATTACAGATATGTAATAACATACTCATACTAATTTGTAATGAAAGGTTTGTAAATACAGTTGTAAACTTACAGGTGTGTAATAACATATTTATACTTTCAGGTGTGTAATTACAGATGTTTACTTTCAGGTGTGCTAATGAGACGTATTCATCTGACTTACCTGAGGCCTCTGTCGTCATTTGTTACTTCAATGAGGCTTGGTCGACCTTACTTCGGACGGTGGTCAGTGTCCTTGACAGATCACCTCCCCACTACATCAAGGAAATCATTATTGTTGATGACTCAAGTGAAATGGGTATGATCAATCTGTTGAGTATATGTAGTTTAGTAACACAGGACATATAATCATTCAACATGTCTCTTTGTCTGCAGATAAACAAATACTATTTGTATAAGGTTCAAAACACCATGGCAGCCTCATTTAGCTAATAACATAAAAATAAACAGACATTATAACTGTAAACTAATTCTACAAATGCAGAAATATCTTTTGATAAGATGACTTTAATTTGTAAATTTCAGCTCAGTGGCGAGAACCTGTCCAAACCTATGTAGAACAGAACCTACCCAAAGTGAAATATGTCAAGACTCCAGAAAGGGCTGGACTTATTAGGGCACGCATGTTTGGAGCAAGACAGGCTTCAGGAAAGGTATGACTTTATTGAAGATGTACAAGGTAGTTGTGGATGTGCCAACCAGGCTTCAGGAAAGGTATGACTTTTAAAGATGTACAAGGTAGTTGTGGATGTGCCAACCAGGCTTCAGGAAAGGTATGACTTTTAAAGATGTACAAGGTAGTTGTGGATGTGCCAACCAGGCTTCAGGAAAGGTATGACTTTTAAAGATGTACAGGGTAGTTGTGGATGTGCCAACCAAACTTCAGGAAAGGTATGACTTTTAAAGATGTACAGGGTAGTTGTGGGTGTGCCAGCCAAACTTCAGGAAAGGTATGACTTTTAAAGATGTACAGGGCAGTTGTGGGTGTGCCAGCCAAGCTTCAGGAAAGGTATGACTTTTAAAGATGTACAGGGTAGTTGTGGGTGTGCCAGCCAAACTTCAGGAAAGGTATGACTTTTAAAGATGTACAGGGCAGTTGTGGGTGTGCCAGCCAAGCTTCAGGAAAGGTATGACTTTTAAAGATGTACAGGGTAGTTGTGGGTGTGCCAGCCAAACTTCAGGAAAGGTATGACTTTTAAAGATGTACAGGGCAGTTGTGGGTGTGCCAGCCAAGCTTCAGGAAAGGTATGACTTTTGTAAATGTAGTGGTAGGTGAAGGACTTATGAAAAATGTACAGTTGTGTTGTGGTTGGAGGATTTATACATATGTACAGGTGATTGATGGGTGGGGAATTTATACAAATGTACAGGTGATTGATGGGTGGGGAATTTATACAGATGTACAGGTGATTGATGGGTGGGGAATTTATACAGATGTACAGGTGATTGATGGGTGGGGAATTTATACAAATGTACAGGTGACTGATAGGTGGGGAATTTATACAGATGTACAGGTGATTGATGGGTGGGGAATTTATACAAATGTACATGTGATTGATGGGTGGGGAATTTATACAGATGTACAGGTGATTGATAGGTGGGGAATTTATACAGATGTACAGGTGATTGATGGGTGGGGAATTTATACAGATGTACAGATGATTGATGGGTGGGGAATTTATACAGATGTACAGGTGATTGATAGGTGGGAAATTTATACAGATGTACAGGTGATTGATAGGTGGGGAATTTATACAGATGTACAGGTGATTGATGGGTGGGGAATTTATACAAATGTACAGGTGATTGATGGGTGGGGCATTTATACAGATGTACAGGTGATTGATGGGTGGGGCATTTATACAAATTAATTTGTGCTGGTTTCTTTGGTATGCCTCCAATACTTTTGAAGATAACTACTGGAAAATCGTCCATTTAACTTACAAAAAATACCAAACCATACAGAAAAAACATTGAAAAATGAAAATTTAATTTACAATAAGATATCAACAAGTGAGCGTCATATTTGTTTTGTATATTTCTAACAGTAGGATGTAGAGGAGGATGCTGGATATATTACTTACACAATAAATAAAACAATAAATATAAACATGTCTATTTTCAGGTGTTGATATTCCTGGACAGTCATTGTGAAGTAAATGTGAATTGGTTAGAACCTTTGTTGTCAAGGATCAAGTCCAGCCAATCTAACGTTGTGGTTCCAGTAATGGACATTATCAATCCAGATACATTCGAGTATGTCTCGTCCCCACTGGTCAAGGGAGGTTTCAACTGGGGACTACATTACCGCTGGGATCAGCTTACAGACAGACTCAAACAAGAAAAAAACTACCTGTCAAAACCGGTTGAGTGAGTTGGTTTTACTGTAGCTTTATAGATTTATGGCCTTTACATAGAGGTGCCTTTAAAGGCAGGTGGCCTTAAAAAACTTTACAGACAGGTGATCTCTATATAGAGGTACTTTCACAGACTGTTGGCCTTTATATAGAGGTGTCTTTACAGATAAGTGGCCTTTACATAGATGTGCCTTTACAGACAAGTGGTCTTAATAAACAAGTATCTTTACATACTGATGGCCATGATACAGAGGTGCCTTAGAAACAAGTGGCCCTTATATAGAGATACCTTTACAGACTGGTGGGCTTTTTATAGAAGTATCTTTACAGACAAGTGGCCTTTATACAGATGTGCCTTTACAGATAAGTGGCCTTTATACAGATGTGCCTTTACAGATAAGTGGCCTTTATACAGATGTGCCTTTACAGATAAGTGGCCTTTATACAGATGTGCCTTTACAGATAAGTGGCCTTTATACAGATGTGCCTTTACAGATAAGTGGCCTTTATACAGATGTGCCTTTACAGACAAGTGGCCTTTATACAGATGTGCCTTTACAGACTGTTGGACTCTATACAGTTGTGCCTTTGAATGATTGAATGTTAGATCAAGACCACAATCAGTGCAGCTAAAAGTATTACTTTGTAAACCTCATAAATACATAAAATGGTATCAAACTCAACATTAGAGACACAAGTGCTGCTTTCCAGTACTGTATGGATTCAAAACATTCACAATGCGTTGTTTTATGTAAGTCTAGTAACTTAAATATCTTTATCTTTTATAGCTAAGCAAACTCTAATAAGAAATAATGTTAAAATCCTTATTTTAATTACCATACATGGATTTTATTATACTGTTTATCACAGGACTCCGACTATGGCTGGTGGTCTGTTTGCTATAGATAGACAGTACTTCAATGACATGGGTCAGTATGATGCTGGTATGGATGTTTGGGGAGCAGAAAATCTAGAAATATCATTCAGGGTAAGAAAACTACTTCTCAAAACTGGTGACTACTATTTCAAACAGTTTGATTTATTTGGAGTAGGTTGGAGTTTGGGGTAATTTTTGGTGTTGCTTGTCATTGCAATTCTTGTTGAGATATTATGATTATACCACAACAGATTTTTACTTATTTTTTCACTGTATATACTGAGTTGTTTGAGACCATACTTCTAGGACATTTCTCCAACATACTTTCTTCATTGTAGTTTTCAATTGATGAATTCCACTATTAGCTGAAAAGGGTTTTCATCAATGTAGTTTTCAGAAGTAAAAGTCCAAGTAGCATCTTCTTTATAGAGCCTCCATACCCACATTAAAAGCTGTACAGTATCATTGAGTTGACCATGACTGACACCTGACAGTGTGGTATATGTATATTGAGTTGACCGTGACTGACACCTGACAGTGTGGTATATGTATATTGAGTTGACCGTGACTGACACCTGACAGTGTGGTATATATATATTGAGTTGACCATGACTGACACCTGACAGTGTGGTATATATATATTGAGTTGACCGTGACTGACACCTGACAGTGTGGTATATGTATATTGAGTTGACCGTGACTGACACCTGACAGTGTGGTATATATATATTGAGTTGACCGTGACTGACACCTGACAGTGTGGTATATATATATTGAGTTGACCGTGACTGACACCTGACAGTGTGGTATATATATATATTGAGTTGAACGTGACTGACACCTGACAGTGTGGTATATATATATTGAGTTGACCATGACTGACACCTGACAGTGTGGTATATATATATTGAGTTGACCGTGACTGACACCTGAAAGTGTGGTATATATATATTGAGTTGACCGTGACTGACACCTGACAGTGTGGTATATATATATTGAGTTGACCGTGACTGACACCTGACAGTGTGGTATATATATATATTGAGTTGACCATGACTGACACCTGACAGTGTGGTATATATATATTGAGTTGACCGTGACTGACACCTGACAGTGTGGTATATATATATTGAGTTGACCGTGACTGACACCTGACAGTGTGGTATATATATATTGAGTTGACCGTGACTGACACCTGACAGTGTGGTATATATATATTGAGTTGACCGTGACTGACACCTGACAGTGTGGTATATATATATTGAGTTGACCGTGACTGACACCTGACAGTGTGGTATATATATATTGAGTTGACCGTGACTGACACCTGACAGTGTGGTATATATATATATTGAGTTGACCATGACTGACACCTGACAGTGTGGTATATATATATTGAGTTGACCGTGACTGACACCTGACAGTGTGGTATATATATATTGAGTTGACCGTGACTGACACCTGACAGTGTGGTATATATATATTGAGTTGACCGTGACTGACACCTGACAGTGTGGTATATATATATTGAGTTGACTGTGACTGACACCTGACAGTGTGGTATATATATATTGAGTTGACTGTGACTGACACCTGACAGTGTGGTATATATATATTGAGTTGACCGTGACTGACACCTGACAGTGTGGTATATATATATTGAGTTGACCGTGACTGACACCTGACAGTGTGGTATATATATATTGAGTTGACCGTGACTGACACCTGACAGTGTGGTATATATATATTGAGTTGACCGTGACTGACACCTGACAGTGTGGTATATATATATTGAGTTGACCGTGACTGACACCTGACAGTGTGGTATATATATATTGAGTTGACCGTGACTGACACCTGACAGTGTGGTATATATATATTGAGTTGACCGTGACTGACACCTGACAGTGTGGTATATATATATATATGATGACAGTGTGGTATATATATATATTGAGTTGACCGTGACTGACACCTGACAGTGTGTTATATATATTGAGTTGACCGTGAATGACACCTGACAGTGTGGTATATATATATTGAGTTGACCGTGACTGACACCTGACAGTGTGGTATATATATATATTGACCGTGTTGACAGTGTGGTATATATATATTGAGTTGACCGTGACTGACACCTGACAGTGTGGTATATATATATTGAGTTGACCGTGACTGACACCTGACAGTGTGGTATATATATATTGAGTTGACCGTGACTGACACCTGACAGTGTGGTATATATATTGAGTTGACCGTGACTGACACCTGACAGTGTGGTATATATATTGAGTTGACCGTGACTGACACCTGACAGTGTGGTATATATATAGAGTTGACCGTGACTGACACCTGACAGTGTGGTATATATATATATATATTGAGTGTGGTATATATACCGTGACTGACTGACACCTGACAGTGTGGTATATATATATTGAGTTGACCGTGACTGACACCTGACAGTGTGGTATATATATATTGAGTTGACCGTGACTGACACCTGACAGTGTGGTATATATATATTGAGTTGAGTTGACCATGACTGACACCTGTCAGTGTGGTATATATATATTGAGTTGACCGTGACTGACACCTGACAGTGTGGTATATATATATTGAGTTGACAGTGACTGACACCTGACAGTGTGGTTTATATATATTGAGTTGACCGTGACTGACACCTGACAGTGTGGTATATATATATTGAGTTGACCGTGACTGACACCTGACAGTGTGGTATATATATATATTGAGTGACTGACACCTGACAGTGTGGTATATATATTTTGAGTTGACCATGACTGACACCTGACAGTGTGGTATATATATTGAGTTGACCGTGACTGACACCTGACAGTGTGGTATATATATATATATATATTGAGTTGACTGACACCTGACGTGACTGACACCTGACAGTGTGGTATATATATATTGAGTTGACCGTGACTGACACCTGACAGTGTGGTATATATATATTGAGTTGACCGTGACTGACACCTGACAGTGTGGTATATATATATTGAGTTGACCGTGACTGACACCTGACAGTGTGGTATATATATATTGAGTTGACCGTGACTGACACCTGACAGTGTGGTATATATATATTGAGTTGACCGTGACTGACACCTGACAGTGTGGTATATATATTGAGTTGACCGTGACTGACACCTGAAAGTGTGGTATATATATATTGAGTTGACCGTGACTGACACCTGACAGTGTGGTATATATATATTGAGTTGACGGTGACTGACACCTGACAGTGTGGTATATATATATATATTGAGTTGACCGTGACTGACACCTGACAGTGTGGTATATATATATTGAGTTGACCGTGACTGACACCTGACAGTGTGGTATATATATATTGAGTTGACCGTGACTGACACCTGACAGTGTGGTATATATATATTGAGTTGACCGTGACTGACACCTGACAGTGTGGTATATATATATTGAGTTGACCCTGACTGACACCTGACAGTGTGGTATATATATATTGAGTTGACCGTGACTGACACCTGACAGTGTGGTATATATATATATTGAGTTGACCGTGACTGACACCTGACAGTGTGGACACCTGACAGTGTGGTATATATATTGAGTTGACCGTGACTGACACCTGACAGTGTGGTATATATATATTGAGTTGAACGTGACTGAAACCTGACAGTGTGGTATATATATTGAGTTGACCGTGACTGACACCTGACAGTGTGGTATATATATTGAGTTGACCGTGACTGACACCTGACAGTGTGGTATATATATATTGAGTTGACCGTGACTGACACCTGACAGTGTGGTATATATATATTGAGTTGACCGTGACTGACACCTGACAGTGTGGTATATATATATTGAGTTGACCGTGACTGACACCTGACAGTGTGGTATATATATATATATATTGAGTTGACCGTGACTGACACCTGACAGTGTGGTATATATATATTGAGTTGACCGTGACTGACACCTGACAGTGTGGTATATATATATTGAGTTGACAGTGACTGACACCTGACAGTGTGGTATATATATATTGAGTTGACCGTGACTGACACCTGACAGTGTGGTATATATATTGAGTTGACCGTGACTGACACCTGACAGTGTGGTATATATATTGAGTTGACCGTGAATGACACCTGACAGTGTGGTATATATATATTGAGTTGACCGTGACTGACACCTGACAGTGTGGTATATATATATTGAGTTGACCGTGACTGACACCTGACAGTGTGGTATATATATATTGAGTTGACCGTGACTGACACCTGACAGTGTGGTATATATATATTGAGTTGACCGTGACTGACACCTGACAGTGTGGTATATATATATTGAGTTGACCGTGACTGACACCTGACAGTGTGGTATATATATATTGAGTTGACCGTGACTGACACCTGACAGTGTGGTATATATATATTGAGTTGACCGTGACTGACACCTGACAGTGTGGTATATATATATATATATTGAGTTGACCGTGACTGACACCTGACAGTGTGGTATATATATATATTGAGTTGACCGTGACTGACACCTGACAGTGTGGTATATATATATTGAGTTGACCGTGACTGACACCTGACAGTGTGGTATATATATATTGAGTTGACCGTGACTGACACCTGAAAGTGTGGTATATATATATTGAGTTGACCGTGACTGACACCTGACAGTGTGGTATATATATATTGATACTGACACCTGACAGTGTGGTATATATATATTGAGTTGACCGTGACTGACACCTGACAGTGTGGTATATATATATATATTGAGTTGACCGTGACTGACACCTGACAGTGTGGTATATATATATTGAGTTGACCGTGACTGACACCTGACAGTGTGGTATATATATATTGAGTTGACCGTGACTGACACCTGACAGTGTGGTATATATATATATTGAGTTGACAATGACTGACACCTGACAGTGTGGTATATATATATATATATTGAGTTGACCGTGACTGACACCTGACAGTGTGGTATATATATATTATGACTGACACCTGACAGTGTGGTATATATATATTGAGTTGACCGTGACTGACACCTGACAGTGTGGTATATATATATTGAGTTGACCGTCACTCACTGACACCTGACAGTGTGGTATATATATATTGAGTTGACCGTGACTGACACCTGACAGTGTGGTATATATATATTGAGTTGACCGTGACTGACACCTGACAGTGTGGTATATATATATTGAGTTGACCGTGACTGACACCTGACAGTGTGGTATATATATATTGAGTTGACCGTGACTGACACCTGACAGTGTGGTATATATATATTGAGTTGACCGTGACTGACACCCTGACTGACAGTGTGTATATATATATACAGTGTGGTATATATATATATTGAGTTGAACGTGACTGACACCTGACAGTGTGGTATATATATATTGAGTTGACCATGACTGACACCTGACAGTGTGGTATATATATATTGAGTTGACCGTGACTGACACCTGACAGTGTGGTATATATATATTGAGTTGTGACTGACACCTGACAGTGTGGTATATATATTGAGTTGACCGTGACTGACACCTGACACTGTGGTATATATATTGAGTTGACCGTAACCGACACCTGACAGTGTGGTATATATATATTGAGTTGACCGTGACTGACACCTGAAAGTGTGGTATATATATATTGAGTTGACCGTGACTGACACCTGACAGTGTGGTATATATATATATTGAGTTGAACGTGACTGAAACCTGACAGTGTGGTATATATATATTGAGTTGACCATGACTGACACCTGACAGTGTGGTATATATATTGAGTTGACCGTGACTGACACCTGACAGTGTGGTATATATATATTGAGTTGACCGTGACTGACACCTGACAGTGTGGTATATATATATTGAGTTGACCGTGACTGACACCTGACAGTGTGGTATATATATATTGAGTTGACCGTGACTGACACCTGACAGTGTGGTATATATATATTGAGTTGACCGTGACTGACACCTGACAGTGTGGTATATATATATTGAGTTGACCGTGACTGACACCTGACAGTGTGGTATATATATATTGAGTTGACCGTGACTGACACCTGAAAGTGTGGTATATATATATTGAGTTGACGGTGACTGACACCTGACAGTGTGGTATATATATACTGAGTTGACCGTGGCTGACACCTGACAGTGTGGTATATATATATTGAGTTGACCGTGACTGACACCTGACAGTGTGGTATATATATATTGAGTTGACCGTGACTGACACCTGACAGTGTGGTATATATATATATTGAGTTGAACGTGACTGAAACCTGACAGTGTGGTATATATATATTGAGTTGACCGTGACTGACACCTGACAGTGTGGTATATATATATTGAGTTGACCGTGACTGACACCTGACAGTGTGGTATATATATATTGAGTTGACCGTGACTGACACCTGACAGTGTGGTATATATATTGAGTTGACCGTGACTGACACCTGACAGTGTGGTATATATATTGAGTTGACCGTGACCGACACCTGACAGTGTGGTATATATATACTGAGTTGACCGTGGCTGACACCTGACAGTGTGGTATATATATTGAGTTGACCGTGACTGACACCTGACAGTGTGGTATATATATTTTGAGTTGACCGTGACTGACACCTGACTGTGTGGTATATATATATTGAGTTGACCGTGACTGACACCTGAAAGTGTGGTATATATATATTGAGTTGACCGTGACTGACACCTGACAGTGTGGTATATATATATTGAGTTGAACGTGACTGACACCTGACAGTGTGGTATATATATATATTGAGTTGACCATGACTGACACCTGACAGTGTGGTATATATATATTGAGTTGACCGTGACTGACACCTGACAGTGTGGTATATATATATTGAGTTGACCGTGACTGACACCTGACAGTGTGGTATATATATATTGAGTTGACCGTGACTGACACCTGACAGTGTGGTATATATATTGAGTTGACCGTGAATGACACCTGACAGTGTGGTATATATATATTGAGTTGACCGTGACTGACACCTGACTGTGTGGTATATATATATTGAGTTGACCATGACTGACACCTGACAGTGTGGTATATATATATTGAGTTGACCGTGACTGACACCTGACAGTGTGGTATATATATATTGAGTTCACCATGACTGACACCTGACAGTGTGGTATATATATATTGAGTTGACCGTGACTGACACCTGACAGTGTGGTATATATATATTGAGTTGACCATGACTGACACCTGACAGTGTGGAGGTAGATTAGAATTGTGTTAGTACGGTATATATATGGAGTTAATCATTTCACAGATCTGGCAGTGTGGAGGCAGACTAGAAATAGTACCTTGTTCTAGAGTTGGTCATATCTTCCGTAAACGCCGTCCCTATGGATCACCCCAAGGCCAAGATACAACTTTGAAGAATTCCCTACGTCTGGCACACGTGTGGATGGATGAATATAAGGTAGCTCCTATTTCTATTCTTTCTATTAGGCCAAACAAAAACTTTCCGTTTCCTGTAACTGTACCTACCAAATATTTTGTGCTAACCCTGAACTTTTTAAGGCAATTTTCAAAGAAGCACTGTCAAAGTCAAGATCTCTCTCAGATACCATTGACAATTATCTGTTCAAAAAATTTTTTTGCTTACCTGTCTACCCGAAATTTTTCAAACATGTTTCAGAAAACACATTAATTTTTTTGTCATGCCTTACCACAATAGGTGTTATGTTAGATGTGCTGAAAATATAATTCTGTGGTACAGAATACCCTACAGTAAACTTAGATAAACAATCAATTCATATTTTCAATTGCGTGTCATGAGAAAAATAGACAGTTTTTATTGTTTTTTTTCATTCTCAGTGTTATTGACATGTATGAACAACTAGACACACATATGCAGTATGAAGGAAGGAAACTCTCATTTTGTCATAACACAATAATTTTATATCACAGGAGCACTTCTTCAAGCTGTACCCAGCTGCCAGGAACATGCCGTATGGTGATATATCTGACAGAGTGGCTCTTCGAAAACAGCTAGGGTGTAAATCATTTAAATGGTACCTGGATAACATTTATCCTGAACAGGTTTGTGTGTTTTGAAATATTTGAAAGCCTTATAAGAACCAGGTGAATATATCACTTGATGTAGAGATATTCTCCAAGGGGTTGAGTGTTTTCACTACACTGGAAAATCAGTAATTTTCGTGTCTTGTTGATTTTGTTGGTCACAAATTTATATGTCCATGATATGATCAGTAAAAGGTGACACAGATTATAGTACTAAGGAACATGTGATCAAGGTTTATCCCTGAAGTCAAGTGCCAATGAAAATTTATGATTTTACAGTTTTCAAACAGGTAAAAATGCAGGTTACACACTGAATGAATTTGTGATAATTGTAAATTCTGCGATTTTCCTATATGACTACTTTGTGACTATTTACAATTTATGTACTACTTTTACAACTCTTTTAACACGTTAGTCAAATTTCCAAGGCATGATTTTAAATCAGTCACATAAGAAATAATTACTCAATCCAAAATCTGCTTCCTTATCTTGAGGACTATGAATACTCATAGGTACTGTACATTTTTTTGTGTTATATTTTTATAAGGTTTTGCCGACAGCAGAGAAAGATGCCCCTGTCTCCCTGGGGAAATTCAAACGTCGTGAGAAGACAGCATCTACTCTACGGGGTCAGCTTTATCATCTCCACTCAGGCATGTGTGTCCAATCAGAGTCAAATGTGTTCACAAAGAAAGCCATGCTTGTACTGGCACCCTGTCAAGACTCAGGAAAAGGGTACAAATACCAGGTAATCATTCCTAGTCTCCTAGACAACAGTAATAGTAAAGGTGAAAGCCATGCCTGTACTGGCACCCTGTCAGGACTCAGGAAAAGTGTACAAATACCAGGTAATCATTCCTAGTCTCCTAGACAACAGTAATAGTAAAGGTGAAAGCCATGCCTGTACTGGCACCCTGTCAGGACTCAGGAAAAGTGTACAAATACCAGGTAATCATTCCTAGTCTCCTAGACAACAGTAATAGTAAAGGTGAAAGCCATGCCTGTACTGGCACCCTGTCAGGACTCAGGAAAAGTGTACAAATACCAGGTAATCATTCCTAGTCTCCTAGACAACAGTAATAGTAAAGGTGAAAGCCATGCCTGTACTGGCACCCTGTCAGGACTCAGGAAAAGTGTACAAATACCAGGTAATCATTCCTAGTCTCCTAGACAACAGTAATAGTAAAGGTGAAAGCCATGCCTGTACTGGCACCCTGTCAGGACTCAGGAAAAGTGTACAAATACCAGGTAATCATTCCTAGTCTCCTAGACAACAGTAATAGTAAAAGTGAAAGCCATGCCTGTACTGGCACCCTGTCAGGACTCAGGAAAAGTGTACAAATACCAGGTAATCATTCCTAATCTCCTAGACAACAGTAATAGTAAAGGTGAAAGCCATGCTTGTACTGGCACCCTGTCAGGACTCAGGAAAAGTGTACAAATACCAGGTAATCATTTCTAGTCTCCTAGACAACAGTAATAGTAAAGGTGAAAGCCATGCCTGTACTGGCACCCTGTCAGGACTCAGGAAAAGGCAAAAAATTCAAATATGAAGTCTTATAACTTGAAGGCCCTGTATAATTTGAAGTATTTTGTCGGGCCTGCCCAAACTCCACATCAAATATTCCAACTTACCTCAGTTGAATACTTGGATAATTTGAAATTTCCCCATGGTCCGTCTGAGTTCCAGGTAACAAGGCTTGACTGTTATAGTAAGAGCGTTATGAGGTCTCATAAAATTACAGAACATGATGTCAAGTACCTGTACTGTGTTAGTAGGAATGTTTTTATTCTGTGTGACATAACTGACAGAAAGTTATTGATACAAATTAATATCATTCTATGATTTGTTTTTTATTCTGTGTAACAAACATGACAGAAAGTTAGGGATACATGTTAATGTCATTGTTTGGTTATTTTTATACTTTGTGTTTCAGACCTGGTATAAAACACAAGAAGATGAAATACTGTTGAGCGATATATTGTGCCTTGATGTACAAAATGCCCTTCAAGGTCTGTCATTTGCCAGGCTAATGAAGTGTCACGGTAATGGAGGATCTCAATCTTGGACAATCAAAAAGGTCAGTGTGTCTCATCGTGTAGGCATTGACAAATGTGAAGTATTCACATATTCCTGTTTAGGATAGTATATTGGTTTATGGTGGATTGTGGCTCCATACTGAAAATAATAGTCAAAGACTTAAGACATTGTTTGTCATTGATTCTTTTTCACTCAATTTGAAAATGACCCCGTTAAAATGTTTAGTAGGTCGAATTTCATTTTATTTTCAAATAAAAGTAACTTGGATTTTTATGACATAAATTAAGAAAACTATTAAGTCAAGGTCTCACTGCTGTTATTAATGGATGGCACATAATCTTGGCAAACAGTAGGTGTGACGATCCTGATGATTCTTGATCATAATTTGAGAGATAGCATGGGTATCTATGGTGTTGTAGGGATTGATTCTGGATCGTATGTTCAATGATAAATCAAACTAAATTATGGTCAGATGACTTAGGTATATTTCGTTACAGCTGAAATAATTTAGATGTTTCTTTTAAGCCACCCATGGTATCCAGTGTCAGTTGAGATATTTATTTGTAAATATTTTGTATGATATTGCAGAGAAATACTTAAAACTTGGTATATTCTTGGTACAGTAGAGATATAATTGTATTCATGATAATATTTCAGCATGGTTCTGTGATGCTGCTATTTAATCCTGCCTCTGGGAAATGTCTGAGAGCTTCACCAGACCAGGAAGGTTCACCTCTCGACCTAGGCATTTGTGATGATACGCCAAATCTCAGCTTCCAGTTCAGGAAACCAGTGTCAAAATCAAAACAATAATTGCTTGTATAAATTACAGGCATATTAGTAATAACTTTAGATAATGTTCCTATGTGATATTGATGAGTGCTATGATGTGGGTATGGATGATGGGTTAGAATTAGTCCAGAGGTTTTGAGATAAAAGCTCTTTGCCATGGTCTTGCTGTGAATTTCTGACCTCAGGGATAAAACTGATTTCTCCCTCCCAAAAGTCTATGTATGTAGTGAATGTTCTGCTACTCATTGCCATTAAACATGTAGAGGATATTTATTGCTTTTCAGTTTGATACGTATATGTATTTCACCACTGTGACAAAATATCTATATTTTACATTAGTGAAAAGAATGAGAGAAAAATATGGATATATTTTGTCGTACATGTGAAATATATGTGGTATTGAACATGAAACCATTAACTTTTCATTTCATTAGTCCCCTGCCGTTGAAACTGAGTGGGGACTACAGTTTCCTCCGTCCCTGTGTCTGTGAAAGTTGTCAGTGCTCTAGCAACTTCCATCCTTGAAGGATTTTTATCAAATTTCACACACTTATTTAGCATCAAAATTTTTTGGACAAGTACCAGTTTCATGGTTGTTGGGTCAGGGTCAAAGTCACTGCTCTGCTACTATTTTTAGAAAATCATTTTCAGCACACCCATGACTTGAATTCTCATAAATTTCAGACACTTCTAAAGCATCAAAGGATCTTAGACAAGTTCAAGTTTCAGGATTATTGGGTCAAGGTCATTGCAACTATTTTTATAAAATCATTGTTAGGAGACATGTATTGCTGCAGCACTGCTCAATTTTCTTTTTACATTTTGAAAAGCTAAAAATGTGAAAAGCTCTTCCGAACATGGAATCAATCAATGTTCAGAAAGGTTTTGGTCTATAGTGCATTCTTTGACTTAAAATAGTATTACATTACTATCGACAACAAGGAAATGCCACTTTGAATAGACTTCCTTTTATTGTATTTTACTATTTTACACTGTTATCTAAAAAGATTTGATTATAAAACAGTTGTTTGTATACCTAATAAGAGAAAATCTGAAATGTAAACGGAAAAGATTTTATAGAAAACCAGTTATTGGTAACTTAGTATACTTGTTGATTCCGTTGTTGTTTACCGTGTTCTCATTTAGAACCATGACTTGCTTACTTTGATAGATGAACATTTACAAGGCAGGTATCTGTATTTATACATCAGATTCCCAGTTGGGCTATGATATGACAGATTTTTATCGTCCGCAAAACGCATTTGTGGGGATATCAATTTGGTCTCCGTGCATCTATCAGTCTAAGGGCTTTTCCTGCCATGACTTCAAAACCGTTTAACTCATCTTCACAAAACTTGCTATATATATTAAGTTATTGCCCTAGTTGTGCCTTTTGCTATTGACGACATTTTGGGGTTTTTTTTTTTTAATTTCTGTTTCCATGAAAACAGTCAAAAATATATTAGGTTAGTGCCCTATTTAAATTTTTTCTGTTACCATGGAAACAGATAATCATCATAAAAAATTTCAGTTTTTCTGGACCAGTTCTTGGAAACTGTTCTCCTTTTAAATACTTTTTCTATTACCATGGAAACAGGTCAAATCACTAGGTGAAGATTTTTCAGACAAGTTCTCTTAAACTGTTCAAGGTAATTACCTGGTACTCAAAACTTTGTACAAGCATCAAGCTAGTACTCTAGTAGAAGTTCTCCATTTCAATACTTTGTGTGGAACAATCAAAAATAACAAATAGAAATTAAACTTGTTGTCATATTAACATATATATATATATAATTATGTGTCTTTCTTTTAAATAATGGGGCCAAGGGGATAATGTCACGCTTTGCGCTATCTAATTTTTTTGGGGGGGACACCTGCCTTTATTCTCATTATACTTTTTCAGGAGTCTCTTTGTAAATCTTTCTTTTAATTTGAATTTGGATTATAATTCTGTTGACATGTTGGTATTTTTGAGTTTGCACCTCTCACATTGATCAAAACTATGAAAGTAATAGCATCATTACTGATGATTGTCTTGCTGGTTTAATTTCTTATTATTGATAAATTCTGATATTTCACTGACAAAAAATGTAATCAAATGATCAGTTGATTTATTGATGTTTTAAGTGTAAAAAGTGTAATTTGAAAATGCTTATGCAGAACAATGAAAAAAATATGGGGCTTAGAAAAAATTCAGAGGTGATATTAAACATTAAAGAGAAGAGATTTGTGTACAGCATTATCATGTGACAGTATTTAATTGTATTGTTAGCTTGTCATGAGAGGTCATGACCTGGCAAATATTTTATTTCCTATGTGACTTTGAGTTTGTATTTAGCTGTTGTTATGGTTATGTGTTTATTGTTAAGTTGTTTACTGAGACTTGTTTACTGCAAATCTCTTTGTTTTGTGTTTAATTGTTTAGAATATACCTGTACATACAAAATGTATCTATAATGTGCACTCATATCTGCCTGAAAGGCGACCTTTATTTAACAATCACCTGTCCATAGAGGCCACTGTCCCAGTCAAAATACAGTTCATAGTATATGATAAAAACCTCTCTGTTAAGGTCACCTGTCCATAGAGGCCACTGTTCCAGTCAAAATACAGTTCATAGTTTATGATTAAACCTCTCTGTTAAGGTCACCTGTCCATAGAGGCCACTGTTCCAGTCAAAATACAGTTCATAGTATATGATTAAACCTCTCTGTTAAGGTCACCTGTCTATAAAGGCCACTGTCCCGGTCAATATACAGTTCATAGTATATGATTAAACCTCTTTGTTAAGGTCACCTGTCTATAAAGGCCACTGTCCCAGTCAATATACAGTTCATAGTATATGATTAAACCACTCTGTTAAGGTCACCTGTCTATAAAGACCACTTTTTCTGCTCCGTTGATTATTACAGATTTGACAGTACATATTGTAGAGGTAACACAGACTTGCTATCATTGTTCTTGTATAAGGTATATAACCTGTTGTTGAGGATCTTCTGTTACTGTAATGGCAGATTTGTACTCTTTTTGTTAGCTGACTAAGCTGGATAATTATTGAGTTTTTTATCACTGGAATGATATAAACTCTGATTATACAGATAGTTCAGTTATTGTTGCTTTACATCCTATTAACAGCCAGGGTAATTTAAGGACATGTCAGGTTTGTGTGGTGGAGGAAAACTCAGAGTTACTGGAGAGAAAAACCACCTACTTGCAGCCTGTACTTGGCAACAGCCCCACATAGGTCTGGCACCTGCGACCAAGAAGTGGAGGGCAAGTATTAAAAAGACAGTCTGACACCTTAATCACTTGGCCACTGCTGTCCTTATTTTTATATGTATAATAGAACAATATTAGAAATCAAATTGTAATATTATTCCCTTTTATCAATAGAACGAAAAATATTTTTGATTTTTTTGTGACTAGGCTTTGTGTACTGGAGGGTTTTATTTTCTTATGACTTAATTAATGGTGAAGGGGAATCCTGCTTACATTGCTATACTGTTGATAATTAATTTATTCATGTTAATGTTACATAGTTGACATTTACACTTAAGATCAAAATGTTTTTAGCATCCAAGAAATATCATCTCTGATTGGCAAGTTTGCTAATTTTCAATTGAGTGTTTTTCAAAGCTTGTGAATGTTTCTTTACTTCAAAATTAGTTGGATAATGATAAGATCAAGCAATAACAGACCTGAATGTTTTTAATTTCATGAAATACAATCAGTTTAGTGTAAGATATAAACTTTGGCTTTGTTTATTGAGTCTGTGATTGGCTTTCATGTCATGACAACCATGACAATGTTATTTTTCTATTGTACAAAAATGTCCCAACACCTAAATATAACCAAACGTGTACACTATGACATTCCATGTCTGTGTAAGATCTATATCAAATGGAAGAAATATCTAAGACATGTTTGTATCAACAATTCTTTTGTATTTTTTACATCTTCAGATGTCTTTTTATGTTATTTTATTAACCTTGTACAAGTTGATAGCTATCGACATAACATCATGCCTCGTCATGTCTAAGATGTAGGGTGTAACAATTCCTACCCAACGTAAATCCAGGGGTAGAGCCAACGCCTTGACTTTTATTAAGGTTCCGTTGGTTCTTTATATCCCTTGCCTGGATACCACCCGGTATGCAGGGCGATTGAAGGAATAGGGGAAACCAAAGTATATAAGTCAATCGCAACAGGTTCGGGATAAGTTGATTTTTATTCGTGTGAAATGTCTACCGGTTTCGCCCGAACAGTGGGCTTCTTCAGGACAGAGTATAAACAATTTTTTACCCCTAAGGTACTGAAAATCGGGAGAAAGTTTTCATTGTTATTTATGACGTCTTACAATAGACATCACATGATCATAAAGTAACGGTTAAAATTCTATGATATTCCTTCACGGTTACTGTTATCATTTTTAGTTTAATTTTCGGAATTAACAGTGAAAAAATTTTTTAAACTTTGCGATAGTTTCTAATATGGTGGTACAAGATATAAACATATGTATATTGCATAGTCATTCTTCTGATCTTAATAGACTAGTCATCATAGACTCGTTCATCTAGGCACACCGTCGACGTAGACTCCGACTGGTAACCTAACCTCCGGTAATCGACCGTAGACGATATGTTAGAGTTTGACGCTGTATCATCACTATCAGATAATTCCAAGTCTTTCTTTAGTTCTTCTAGTGCTAAATCCAAAACCGGTCGATAGTTTTTATGGGCTGGTCCGACTGTGTCGTATGGGCCCTCCGCTGGTTTCAATCTGAATTTCACTTGTTGTAGTTGTTTCTTTGTCAGCACCTCGAACAGGCGCTTATCCTCCGGTTTAGTTGCGTCCATTCTGGTGTTATCCTGGAAAATTTCAGGTTCCACTTGGTATCCTGGGTGTTTTTTCTTTAAATGTTCTTTGTACGCCCCTTTCCTTCCATAAGTATGTTTACAAATTTTGCATCGGTGCCATGTTTTCAGCATGGTGTGTACTTTATCTGCATGTCTTCTCAGGTTTCCTAAACTTGAGTACGTTTTGCCGCATTTTATGCACGGTATTCTCGGCTTTACTTGCGTCTTTTGATCTGTTGCCTGTTTCCTTGGTGTTTGTTTCGTACGCGCCATCACGATATAATATTAAGACCTTCTGGCTGCGTTGTTCTCAATATCCTGATCCAACTCTCTTCAATTCTCAGGCGACGGTTGTTATCACTGACGTTCGATAACAGACCGGTGACTATGACGTCACTGGTACTGTGACCTGGCGACGTGAAATGTCCCGCCACCGGCTTGTCTGGGTGTTTGTTAATGATGCTATACAGATGATTGCGGATGCGTGTATTTATCGTCGTCGATGTTTGTCCGACATACTGCATACCGCATTTTTTACATGATATTAGGTACACCGCGTTCACACTTTGGCATGTGATCTGTCCCTGTACTTTATATTCTGATCTGGTAGTGTGACTTGTGAAGTGGATAGTGGGTTTCATATGCGCACATATTCTGCAGTTTTTTCCGCACGGACCACTGCCCGGTCGGATAGAGTCACGGCAGATATCGCTTTTCACTAATATATTCCTGATGGACTTGGGTTTGGTGTAGGCCATTATCATTTTGTAATTCAACAGGCCCCTGGTTCCCGGGCCCTGTCCTAAGATATGTTTGTATTTCTTTAGTAATAATCCAATCGGTGGGTTTGCTGGGTTATGCGGGATGACGAAAGGTATTACCTTGCGGCTGTTCTCTTTCATTTCCGGGTTTAATAATTCTTCCCTAGACACGGCTCGTGCTTTATTGACTGCCTCGGTCAGTAGGTTAAGCGGGTATCCTCTTTTTCTGAATCTCCCTACTAGGTTGGAGCATTCCTGTTCGAAGTGGTTTGGGTCACTGCATATTTTCTTGATTCTTAATGCTTGTGAGTATGGGATACTGGTTTTGGAACGTTTGGGGTGACAGCTGTGGTAGTGCAAGTATAAAAACGCATTAGTGGGTTTGTTATACAGTTTGCTTCCCAAGTTGCCGTCCGGTAGTTTGTATATAGTGGTGTCTAAGAAGTTGACCTCGGTATCACTGATATCAAAGGTGAACTTAATTGTTGGGTGGTTTGAGTTCATGGCTTCACAAAAGGAGGCAAGTTCCTCTCTTGTATGTGTCCATATAAAGAAAATGTCATCTATATATCTCCACCAAACTAGTGGTATTTTTCCTTGTGTGGCTAGGAATTTCTTCTCAATGTAATCCATGAAAATTATTGCATAGTTAGGTGCCATCTTGGTCCCCATGGCGGTACCTAGTTTCTGCAAATAATAGTCCGTGTTGAACCTAAAACAGTTGTTTGTTAATATTAATGCAATCATCCGAAGGAGGATCCACGTGCTGGGTTGTGCCTGCGGACCTCTCCCATCTAAGGCTAATTTCACTGCCCTAATTCCTTCTGTGTGTGGGATAGATGTGTACAGCGAAGATACGTCCGCTGTACATAGTATACTCCCCGTCTGTAGTTGGCCTAAGTTTATTATTCTTCGTAGGAAATCATTGCTATCTTTCAAATATGAGTCTGTTTTCATGGCTAGTGGTTTAAGATGGTGATCTACAAATTCTGATATCTTTTCTGTGCAACTACCTATTTGCGATACTATGGGTCTTCCCGGATTACCTGCTTTGTGTATTTTAGGTAGCGTATAAAATATCGGGGTTCGGGGGTTTCTTGGCGTTAAGTATTTGATTTCAGTGTCGGTTAATAGCTCTCTATCTTTTATGAACTTAAGAAAACCGGTAATCTTTTTTGTGACTGATGGGTTTAGATCTGATTTGACTTTCTCATAGTGAGTACTATCATGTATTTGCCTGTGTATCTCTTGCATGTAGTCCTCTTTGTTAAGGATGACTATAGCGCCACCCTTATCCGCTGGTTTTATGACGATGTTTCCATCATTACTCAGTGATTTGAGGGCATCCTTTTCCTTATTGGAAAGGTTGCTTCTGTGTGGTTTCCAAATCCGGTGATCGTGTATACTTTCTGTGACTATGTTGAGAAAAGTATCTAGAAAAGTATCATTTCCTGCCGGTGGAGTCCAGCCGGATGTTCTGCGGAACGGGCTTCTCTCTTGTTCTGGTGTATCCTTGAAGAAATGGTTGATGCGTACCCTTCGGTTAAAAAGGTAGGTGTGAGTGAGTATGTTATCTAATTGTGGTGCCCCTGGAGTCGGGCAGAAATTTAGACCTTTGGACAAAACATCTAATTCGGCTTTATTTAATACCCTATCTGATAAATTTACAATCCCGCTATAATCACTTTCTATGCGCGTTTTCCTGAATTTTTTTCCGCGGGATGAATTTCCGGTGGTGTTTGCGCGTGAGTTCCATCCCGTTTGTTTATCTGTCTTGTCTTGTTTATCTTTCCTTGACTCCTTAATGCGTGTGAGTGTAAGTTCAGTTGTATCCCAGACCAGATCTGATATGTCTGGTGTAGTTACTGCTTTAATTAGATCTTTGACCTTTTCTATCTCCGCGGCCAACTGTGTGTTTCTGTCAGCCCAATAGTTCAGGAGAGCTTTAGTAAGGTCCAACCCGAATTTCATGTGGCATTTGTCCCATTCAATACTAAACTCTGTGTTCAATTCTGGTACTTGAGGGCTTACAGTGACCTGTAGTCCTTTAGGTACAATTCCGTTTTGTGTGCACTTTCGAAGATAGTCGGTGTGGTTCTGACCTTTAAGTGCCTGGATTCTGAGCTTGCGTAAGGCTTTGAAGTGTGGTACTACTGAGGCTGGTAAGGTTGTTCTCTCTGTAGTCGTATTTTCTCTCTTCCTTTTAAGTTCTAGGTTACTGGCATTATCCGTGTGATTGTCATGTGGTAACTTGAACAAGAAGTCATTAGTGTTGTCATTCATGCTCGGTTGAGGAAAATGGTCCAATGGCGGACTCTAGTGGTTCCTACGGCGGATCCGCTGGGGATGCAGGGGCTCTAATAAAACGTGACAACGTAAATCCAGGGGTAGAGCCAACGCCTTGACTTTTATTAAGGTTCCGTTGGTTCTTTATATCCCTTGCCCGGATACCACCCGGTATGCAGGGCGATTGAAGGAATAGGGGAAACCAAAGTATATAAGTCAATCGCAACAGGTTCGGGATAAGTTTATTTTTATTCGTGTGAAATGTCTACCGGTTTCGCCCGAACAGTGGGCTTCTTCAGGACAGAGTATAAACAATTGTTTACCCCTAAGGTACTGAAAATCGGGAGAAAGTTTTCATTGTTATTTATGACGTCTTACAATAGACATCACATGATCATAAAGTAACGGTTAAAATTCTATGATATTCCTTCACGGTTACTGTTATCATTTTTAGTTTAATTTTCGGAATTAACAGTGAAAAAAATTTTTAAAGTTCATATGCGATAGTTTCTAATATGGTGGTACAAGATATAAACATATGTATATTGCATAGTCATTCTTCTGATCTTAATAGACTAGTCATCATAGACTCGTTCATCTAGGCACACCGTCGACGTAGACTCCGACTGGTAACCTAACCTCCGGTAATCGAATATCATAGAATTTTAACCGTTACTTTATGATCATGTGATGTCTATTGTAAGACGTCATAAATAACAATGAAAACTTTCTCCCGATTTTCAGTACCTTAGGGGTAAAAAATTGTTTATACTCTGTCCTGAAGAAGCCCACTGTTCGGGCGAAACCGGTAGACATTTCACACGAATAAAAATCAACTTATCCCGAACCTGTTGCGAATTCCTACCCAAGGTGTTTGTATCAGAAAGCTGAGACACATACAGTCCTTTAGTAGTTGTGTCCTCAGACAGGACACTTAACCCTACAGTTAATTGCTGTGAATTGATTGTAAGAGGCCTCCTGTTGTTAAGCTAGGTAGCCACCATAAACTACAGGTAAATCTTGCTCCGATGTTCACAACACTCACAGAACCCATGAAGAACAATGTTCATGTTGTGGCAATATCATTTTAATGGAGCTTGGTTGGTACACTTGTTACCTGAATCCCTTATCCAAGTTGGATTGATGGTAAATTCTGTTCATATTTAACGAGGCTGCAGTGGCCTGTTTAACTGATTTCTTCATGAGTCTTTAGGAAATCTTTCTGCACATTATCTTATGAAGGAATAATAAGATTTTCAGGAAACTTGCTTTTTAGACTTGAAACCTTAATTCCTTGTTCAGGTTCGATTATCAGAAAATTCTATGGATATTTTACGAAACTGCTGCGACCTGGTTGGCTGATATCTTTCAGCACTCAACTAAACGTCCTTCCCATGCTATCTTTTAAAGGAACAAATGAAATATGATGAGACTTGCTAGGTAAACTTATTACATAATCTCCTCACTCAAGTTTGATCAATCGTGAATTCTGTGCATTTTTAATCATGGTGCTCATTCCTGATAAGCTGATATCTTAAAACAGTCTTGAGGATTGCTTTCCACTCTCTTTTAAAGGAATGATCAAATTTTTTATGAGACTTGCTTAACAGACTAAGTGCCTTAACCTCTCTCTTAAGTTTGATTATCAGCTAATTCTGCAAATATGTAATGAGGCAGCTGTGAGCTGAATGGCTGATTGCTTTGCACAGAATATCTTCTGAGGTAGAAATAAGAGACCTTTAAAAGACCATAAACATATCTCTTACCAATTTGGAAATTAAGTCACAACAAAATTATGGAAGAAGAATAAGTATAATGATAAGAAACAGAGTTGGTAAAAAAGCTATGATAGTGAATCTCAGAAATGTTTTTAGAAGTCTAATGTATGAAGTGATGTTGCACTCTCACTGGTTGTATTTTTTATCCATGTGTATAAACCGTTTCACTGTTTTGTCATACTTGAGCGGTAATAGAATTATTGATTGATCCAGTATCACTGAAATTAAATGACAAATATTCTATTACTTTGATCACTTTCAGCAGAATTTTAAACTGAACATAATAAATGGATTCAATACTTTAACTTTCCATGTTGCTCACTTTAAATGTATATATTTTACAAATTAAAATTGGCAGGGGATCTTGCTGCTGATATCCTCGTCTTGTATCCTATGTCAGGTTCCTTTGTTGAACTCTACATAATGTAATGAATACAATTAAGAGCAAGTAAAAGAGAAAACTTGATGTGTAAATCAACAAGATCCATCTACAGATTTTTGCCTCTTGTTATGTGTTAGAGAAAGTAAGTTGGCAGTATACACATCAAAATACATTACTTCAGTTTGGGTACTAGATATTTGACCACTGATAAGTAAGTTGTTTATAAATTCTATTAATTCAAGGGCTTCCAAGTTGTTAAGAAGTTGTCATGAAAGTAGTCAGTACATGCAGATCTTGGTGTTGTATCTTGTTAACATGTGTAATGTGAGAAATGTTCACTCCATTCTGGTGTCAAATTGTTCAAATTCAAAATACTCATTAGAACACTATTTTTTGTTTTTCTTTTCTGTAATGACAAAGATACATTATTTTTATACGTTTAGAACCCCGTTAGATTGTTCCATTAATGTCTACATTTCAAATGAACAATGTGGTTCTTTGTGACCTTTAATCACTTCTAGTTTTCTTGTTGTTCTCATTTTTATCACCTTTTTCATGTATTGTGCAGAGACCAGCAATAAACAGTGATTGTCTTTGATGATAACTTTGTCTGCCCATTTGTCTGTCGGTCTGTAACTCCCAGATAATTTAATCTTGTCTGTAGATCTCCCAGTTTTCAACATATCTCTTTTTGAGTAGGCTTAATTTCGAAGGAGTTATTTCCCCTTGTTTTCTTATTTTAGCACTGTAATCTTGATAGTAGATCTCCCTTGGTTTCAAACCAAATCTTTGAAATTTGGTATATTTTCTGAGGAGTTATTTCCACGCCCTTTCTTAAAACTTGTTTTGTGATTTCTTCACTCAGTTTATGATGGTTTTCTTTGAAAACTTGATGTGCTTTATAAAAATTGTGCCATTTCTCCTTTGAAAGAGTCCTGAAATTTTTATGTAGTCTATATTGTAATGACATGAAATTCTCAACAAAATCATATTCTTTTTATTGTTTTTGTGTTCATACAATAAAGTATTTCTCTTTGTCATTGGTGGGGTGTATATTGTTCTGCCCCGCAGTATTCATGCTGATCATGTGAAAATGCTTTCTTTGATAAGACAACCACAATGCACTTTATATCTAATGTAATTATTCACCCAGAAGAAAAAGTTATTAAATAACAGTTTATGTTGACTTGGTATGATGTCATATTAATTAATGAAATTGTACTTACCGGTTATTGTAGTATCATCTCCCTGCAAACATCTTTGTCCTTCCTTCTTAACTTCTTTTCATAATAGTCTTATCACTGACAGTTTAATAATGATACACAATTGAGTAGTCTAATGATACAACACTGACTAGTCTAATTAATGATACACTGTTGAGTAGTCTAATTAATGATACATTGTTGAGTAGTCTAATTAATGATACATTGTTGAGTAGCCTAATTAATGATACACTGTTGAGTAGTCTAATTAATGATACACTATTGAGTAGTCTAATTAATGATACACTGTTGAGTCACTAATCTATTTTGTTCCTTTTAACTCCTATTGTTATAGCCACATGTTCCTGTACTGAATGCCTATCTTATAACTCACGGTGCCATACTTGTCGCGCTCTGTATGAGATTATGTCTATAGCTCCCTACTCTCTCTATTACTTATTTGTATTGCTACCATTGCAGTATTGACCAGAACCAGATCTTTGTAAACTTGTATTAAATACATTCCAAAGAAGTGTCTATAGTGTTATTATCATCTCGCCACGGATACGTGAATGGAAAATCGTTAATCACAACTAATATTTGTAAACTTAAGCAGAATACTATGATTGTTGTCCCTGAAAAGTCATGGAGAAGTCCTGGAACTTTAGTCTCTCCAACTGTGGAATCACATTTAAATCTGTTTCCAGTTCCACTTGTACCATAAAGCTGAACATTGGTGAGGTTTAAATGATGACGACAATGTATGTTACTTTCGTCGACAAAGTTTGACATAGTAGTTATGGCGGCCATTTTGTAACGTGATTGTGCAATCAATGTTTTCCTGACAACTATTAAGACTTCTGAAGATCCACCAGTGACCTTTACCTCAGACTTACCAGAAAGGATCCCGAGACTGCCCCAGCTAAGTATGTTATCTTTTTTATTTTGGTCTGAAATCCAAAATCGCTGCGCTGCAATGGCCGATTTTTTCAAAATCAAATGATTCATTTCAGTTCCACGGGTGTTATCGAGCAGAAACCGTTCACCATATTTGTGGCATACTGTTTTTTTCAATTATGTGACAAAATTTACCAAGATCATATTCAATATACATTTCTGAAATTGCTTCAAAAGTTTCCCACAACCTCTACTGTTTTATCAGATGACCGTTAAGGCCTCTTGTTAAGTTTCATACATACATATATGTACATGTGAACGATACATATCTATAAAAGATGTATACATTTGAATATGGTATAGGTCTATGATCTAAATCTGTTGTTGCCAAATGTTCACAACTAAAAGATTAGAATCGCGTGCATTTCCATGGTTCTGTTTACTTTGGAAATGATAAAATGAACAAATACTTGTCAAACTTCTTAACGCAGTGGACAATTTTATCAAACCATAGGCTCACACTGGAAAGTAGCAGCTCATATCAATTTCACTGTCAAAATATGGAAGATAATTTTCGCTAATTTCTTTTGTCCAAATATGGCAAGTAATCATTCCACAATTTCATTTATCAAATAACTGGTGATGACCATAAGGGAAGATGTGCCAGCTCCCATCAATTTCATTCGTCAAATTAGGGAAAGTTACATTTTCCGTCAATTTCCTTTGTTGAAATATACAAGGTAATATCTTTCACAATCTCCGCCCATTATTGGTCAAAACGTAGGAATTTACAATGGAAGGTGCAACTGTTTCCAGCAATTTAATTGGTTCAAATATCGATTTTAAAGCAGCTTCCAGTTTTGAAACATGGAATGTAATTATTTCCGCCAATGTTACTGGTCAAAATATTGGATATTAGAGTTAGGGAAGGTGGAGCAGTCTGATCAAAACCAATTTAATTTTTCCATGTAAGGAGGGTAATATCCGAGCTATTTCTTTGGTCAGTTTGAGGACATCAGTATCAGTATATATTTACTCCATAGTCGTAATAGTGAACTTATCACGAAGAATTTAGAGTTTGATTAAAAAATAATTAAGCCAGACATTTGCCAGATTAGTTATCTACCGCTCTGAAGAAAAGGGGTGAGTGACACGTTTAATTGTATATGACAAAAGTTTTAAGAAATCTAGTTATTTATCTGAAACCTCTTCATAAAGATCTACATGCCCGCAGGAGTTGTAAACAAGCTTAATGCTTTAAATTATTTTCATAAATTGTATTATAAAGCAATTTTTTACACTTTCAATAGCTGTGCATCTTGCAGGTCCTGCTGTATGGTAACAATTCAAATGTCCAACCATTTTTAATATATACATTTTTTATTCAGTGTTATCGTATACATTCCACAGATGTATGATATATTCATGTAGTCGCTTGAAATCAAGACAACATATTTTATGTATTTACACACTGTGCTACCTTAAATAAATCGTGTTCTTTGAGTTCACATCTGTACCATATTGTTATATATAATAGGATGGAGTGATGAAAATCACCTTGCCACCGCTGGGGTTCGAAATAGTGACCCTGCGGTCTCTAGCCGGACAACAGGGAAATTTCCACTACCCAAGGCTTCTACACTACTCCCTCCTTCACCAAGTCTTCGACCCCAAATACAACAACAACCCAGGTTCAGTCTTTCCAAGCACAGGGATTTGGCACGGATTCCCGAACCACGGTCCATATACAAAATGTGTATGTTTTAAAGTGACAAGGGTTTGTAACTCCTGAGATGGAAAAAAAAACTTAACATATTTTTTTTCAATTATGTTATATATATATGTGTATGTAAATTATTCTATGGGCTGCAGATCTTTTGATCCAATGAATCTTTGGTGAACGAGATAGTTCATTTATAAACCAAGTGATGACCTGACGAATTCTGAAAAAGTAGAAAAGGCTAGGTAGACTCTCGTCTCTAATTGGTACCTCAAAGCTTTGCCGAAATCGCAAAATCTACGCATACACTTGTGACGGTACACAGTACCCATGACCTTGTCCACATGGTGTGTTCGTTGATGTTGTCATATCTCGTACGTTGTTGAATTTCCACATTGACATCACGCCGTTTCTTTCTGAACATTAGCCGCTATGTTGTTTTTTATGTTGCCGATTACTGGCGTACGCCGTGCACGATTACGGCCCGGATCTCAAAACACTTCCAGGATTATGATAAATAATTTATATCTCAAGAATGACAAATCAAATAAATTTCAAATTTGTTTTGAAAATCCATTTCAGTATTCTTAAGATGTTACACGTTGAATAAACCCATTATACGTTTGAGTGTTGCGTTCAAATTTGCACCTCATCAAAAATGCAAATCGGCGATATGAACAGCACAGGTGAGGACAAGGTCATGGGTACGCTTTACCGTCACAAGTTAACTTTTTGAGACACTCACTAGAGATGAGAGCGTGACTAGCCATGCCTACCTATGTCCGGTATCGTTAGATCATCACTTATAATCGGTCTATCTCGTTCATCAAACACTCGTTGGAAGGACCTAACAACTGTATATTGGTAAACAAGGCGTTCCTGAGTTATCAACAATGACGTCATAGAGTATATAACATTTTATAAGGTAAGTTGCAAAGGTAAGTACACAATGGTTTCCATTTAAGATGAAGCTTGTTATTCAGCTTCCGATTATGTACCTGTATAGTAAGTAATGTCACGACCTTTGACTGAAACACAATTTCATTTTTATTTATGATCACTATGGGAACAAGTTACTGTCGGAGGGAACAAATTACTATCGGAGGAAACAAATTGCTGTCGGAGGGAACAGGTTACTGTCGGAACAAGTTATCGTCGGAGGGAACAGGTTACTATTGGAGGGATCCAACTGCTGTCGGAGGGAACAGGTTACTGTCGGAACAAGTTACTGTTGGAGGGAACAGATTACTATTGGAGGGAACTAATTACTGTCGGAGGGCACAAGTTGTGATTTTGTCCCAGACTTATTAATATCTTAGTATCAACAGTGTACTCAGATCAATCTTCATGCATTTTCTCGCCAACATACATCAGTAAAGTTGAATTAATTCGTTAAACAATTACGTAATTTGAACACACCTAAGTATATGAACATCAGTAACGATATTTATCAATATATTGGTAACTTTACACAGACCCTTGTCAGTGTGTTTGCTGTAGTTTGTTGTCACAGCAAGATAACTGGAAGTCAATGACGTGTGTAACAATACACACAGGTACGATATAAGGTCATATAGATAGTTGGATGACGGAGTATTTTTATCACATTTTACTGTATCCTCCACGTTTACATTTACCAATGGTGAATACAAAGCCGTCCTGAAATCAACAAAACAACAGGATGTATTTCAGTGACACATGACATACCGCCACTATTTACATGTTAAAAGGAAGAAATAAATATGAATCTGAGGATAACTAATTATTAAATATGATCAATGTGAAGTATGTTTGACATATTACTTGTTTCAGTCAACAAAAAACGTCAAAAACATTATTCGAATCAGATCAGAATATGAATAGTCCTTCAAACACACTTAATAAAAGAATACTTCGACAATATCGGGTAAACTCCACCAAAACGTGATATTTGGACAACCTTGCTACCCTGGGCGTGGCGAACCATCCTCATAACTACATTATTGTACGCACTAACCTTGACAAGATCGGGTAAACTCCCCCAGAACGAGACATTAGGTACAACCTCTCTACCCTGTGCGTGGCGAACCATTTTATATATAACATACCTCCAATGACCGGTAACTACTTACCTTGACAAGATCAGGTAAACTTCCCCAGAACGAGGCATTGGGTACAACCTCTCTCCCATTAGCGTGGCGAACCATTTTATATATAACATACCTCCAATGACCGGTAACTACTTACCTTGACAAGACCAGGTAAATTTCCCCAGAACGAGGCATTAGGTACAACCTCTCTCCCATTAGCGTGGCGAACCATCTTCATAAACAAAATACCTCCAACCATGTAAGTAAATCCTAGCGACAGTGCACTGGAAGAGAGATAGAATCTGTAACATTTCTTGTAACTTTTAACGATGTATATCATATTATTGAAAGCACTGTAGTAGTTCTACACGTAACGTGTAAATGTTCATGTGTTGCCATGTGTTTCCCTAACGATTCACTGAAGATATGTTGATGTTTCCTTTAATGAACACTTGTCATGGTTTTACAAGAAGAGTAAATAGTAAACACCCCCACCCCCTGCTTCATCGACAACACCTGTTTTGCGATATATCTTCAAAAACACATTCCACTGATGATCAGCTATTTTGCAAACAAGCGAGTGTATAGATTATAAATGAATTGGATTCAAGATTTTTAGCATTTGTTTATCATCTTTTGGTTTGTTTAAAGTTAGTTCCATTTTGATCGCTATGTGTTTTACCGTTTGGTGGCCCTAATGACCCTTTTATGTGTTGACGGTCCGTTAAGAATGCAATAATAATAATAATTTGAATTGGAAAGAAATTAATGGTAAGAATCGCTATATATGTGTGTAGGATTCTTACTATTGACTGGGAAGCTCTTTATTGTAGTACAAGGTTCTTACACAATGACAAGGACAGTCCCAATGCTGATACCGTCTGACGAGCCTCCCGTTTTAGGCCCTGGACCTGGGTCTGGACCAGGACCTTTAGTGGTGGTGGGGTCTGGTGGCGCAGGGCCGCTACCGCATTGTCCCGGGCATCCACATTTTGTGTTTACAGTGAATAACTGTGAAATATAATTACATCACTTTAGTTCCTCAACAGACACATAGAGTCAACCAATTAAACACTAAACATCATGTAATGCAGCTTAATTCATTTGGCTCGACTGTCATCTAATTCTAAATTGGTATTGAAAGGTGCTATTTATTTATGTGTCTTTTGAACAATATTATAAACCACAATGTCTGATCGATAAAGAATTTAACAGTATTATTAAAACTGTAGGAAAATATTACCATTTGTATAATACATATGTAAAACACATGATAAAAGCAACATTTGAATCAGGAGTGTAAAATCACACTTTGAAAAATGCAAGTTATGGGATTTCAAAAATAATTAAATCGAGCAGAATCTATTTAATTTACTAAAACTATTCATTTGACGTTGAACTCATGTCACATTAACAGGTTTTCTTTTTAAAAGGTTAACAATCATACGTAAGTGACAGAGCCTGGAGCAGTTTCACCATCTGCAGAAGCTAGCGGAGGATCCGCCCCAGGGTTACACACCAATGTTACGTCGGTCGTTCTACAACAGAAGGAGGTATTAACCATGATTAATCTTAAAACCAGTAGTCATGTCGAGGTACATTGTATTATCACACGATTTGTGGTGCCAAGTTATGAGTATAAAGTTGCGAATAGAACTGTAGCCAATGTTGTGCTATTGTGGTTCTCATGGTATATCAGTTCGGTCTAATTTAGTGGTGTTAGTCCTCTAGTAGACATTGTATTTACATATTTCTATGAGAACAACAGTCTTTGATAAATATATTTACCTTGTAAGACCAGATCCCTGGTCTATATTAGTGTACTTGACGTGAACCTGGTTTAAACTATCGATTTCGAAACCTACATTTGAGGCATCACCGATCTGGTAACTTGCCGATCCATCTGTCATTACTTGACATGCCTGGCACAAACAACAATAATGAAATAACATACATTATGAAAATATAAGCAAATGAGAGAAGAATGCCGAGAACATTCATGGAGTGATAAGTAGAGACTTCATCACGAGGGAAGTTAGTATCGACTCCTACAATGATCTTGTTATGGAAGTTGACTTGAAATTTCTTTTAATATTCCATGAGATCGAAAAAGAAAATATCGTCTAGACATCGGTTCCTGTCCGGTATACATTTCGGTGCTGCCATATTGTTGAACTGTATTACGTGAACTATTAAGCTACGTTATCTAGAAGCCGTGTGATTTTGGTTACTGTTACAGTGTTGCTTCCAAAAAGAGACAAAAAATGTGGTGAAATCCATTCGTCATAAAAGATGAATATTCTTTTCATTGACAAATTTGGGTACATTTTTTTGTCTGTCATTTCAGGCAAGCGAATTTGAGGTGGTATTAGTGGATATCTCTCAGCAAAATACTGGAGTATCACCGATCATTTTAATGAATAAAATCTGTACCATGAGCACATTGCAATTCATATATAAGTTTGGTCAGCATAGCGTTGTTACCGAGATACGATTGATAAGTGGCTCAAAATGAATGCTCCATGGATACCGATATTTCAACCTTAATTCAATCTCGTATTCAATGAAAACTAGGTAATATCATTTAAAGACAGATATTGGAAAAAGGAAAATGAGTATAAGACCAAATGTTCCGAAACGGTATGCGTCTTCAACTTCATCGACGATAACGTAATGAACTTAACACAAATGAATAGATAGTCTGTATGTCACACTTACCGCTGCATTAGAACAGGATAATTCATTAAATGGATAACACAGGTTTAGCGAGTATTTTTGACCATCACTGCTGATCATATCTGCAAACCTAAAAATGGAAATAGTTAAAATCATTGTTTAATGACATATGATATTACACAGATATTGTTTCTTTTCATGAGATGTTAAATGATCGTCATCTTGATGAAAGTACGTGGATTAAATCAATAACTGATATCTGCATTTCTATATAACGATACAACAGAGCCAAACAATGATTAATCCGCATCATACAGCTGTTTCATCCTTCCAAGACGTTAGTGCTAATGTTCTTGATTTTGAGACCTCGGAAGTCACAGAGGAAAATCAAAATTCAACGAAGGAAATATAAAACATATTAGATGGGAAGGGACACTAGCCCCAATAATTAAAAAAAATCATAATTTTGAATAAATCTGCTATTTTAGAATGACGTTAAGCACATATAGATATTCTGAACTGTGCATCATCTTAAATGAATCAACACATGTAGTAGGTTACGGCAAACCTCGGGGACCAGTGTCTATCACCTGCAATCCCGAAAATTACACAACTTAAACAAATGTGAATTACACTTTTTAATACAACTTAAGCACAACTTAATACAACAGATTCACCGGCTGTGATAGAGTGGGGGATAGGTTGTGGGTGATTAGTAAATCATTAAATCATAGGCTAACAATTCTCCTACCTTTTTCAAAAAATGGATGGATACTATAAGGTATTCAACAGGGATTCTTATTATGTTGTTGTTCACAATTCTAAAAATACAGATCCTCAAGTTCGGCCGAAACATGTTGACAATTTTAGCCGTCAATAAAAACACAACTGCATTGGATGTTGAGGATCTTTATGTTTAGGTTTATGTTGGGCTGTTATGTTGTTTAAAAACTTCAAGTCATCATTATTGGAATAAAATACAGCTCTTTTATTTCATTGAATGATGTTCCGATAATTTCTTGTTTTGAGAATGATACGGAGGTTTCATTTCTAACATCACGAAGCCTGATTTGCATCATGATGAAGATAAAAGAATTCTTATACCCTGAAATCGTTTTGATATGATGTGTTACTCGCTGAAATATACAACGAGGATGGGAATTAGTTACTAAAATGAAAGTCCTACCACTTTCTGAGTCATATTCAAATATATAAAAATAGTCGATTCTCATTAATTATGATATGATTATAACTGAGTCAATGTTGATGAAAACGTTTTCTGATTTCTTGTAATTCTTTTTGTCGTCCGCGCCCGTTGTGTCAATGTACCTTTCATTATCAGGTCAACAGTTTGTAAAGTAATACTATTTCTAAATTATTATTTAAATGTGAAATCATTATCGGAATGTTAACAATGAGTTCCTGGTTCTAAATTTTAATCATCACGTGTATGATATCTTGGTCTCGTGATTTGTTGACAAACTCGGGTCAGGAGGTCAAATAGCACATTGTACAATGGAATAACTTGTAATGTATAATCAGTGTGTACTCATTTCTGCCCGGATGCCATTGGCTCGCTCTTCAATCTGTAGATAGATTGTAATATTGTTTGACATTGTTTAGGTACAAAGATAAACTATTATCTTTAAACAACGATGCGATGTCAGAGGGATGTATAGGTGTAAAGTTTTATGTTTATATATTTAATCTAGATCTGTGTCTACGATTTTAGTTTTCATACATTATTGAGTTTAAGTGTAAATATTACATAACATTTCTTCTGCCTATATTAATGTACAAATAATATTGATAAAATAATATACAAAAAATTTGAGGGTATGCACTACGATACCTCCACTTAATCAACGTCTACTGTTTGACATCATGTAATTCTAGATATGGTATCAACATTCTCCGTTGTGTTTTATTGCCTGTATTTCATCAGTATACGTGTAATATGATGAAGTTCCGTACTTTGATATTAACAGTGAATATGTAACCAATCTAGTGGTGTGACTCCGATATTTAAAAGGTCCCTAAATTCACGATGAAGAATTTAACTTTCTAAAAATAGGCAATAAACTTGCAGGTGGGACATATAGAATCATTATGTTTCCTCTATCCTCGAAACAGAAATATATGTATGAACATTTATCGAGGGGTGACAGTTTTTCGGTGATCTGTAAAAATGTTTTTAAAGATTTTATCGAATAGATTAGATCCTGTTTTCAGTACGGATTAGTTTCCGAACAGACAACAATCAGTATATTTAAATCCTATTTAGTATTCAGACCTCTTTCCTTCTACAGAAATATATACTTTATATTATGGGAGAGAGGGGTCTGTAGAGTAGAGTTTCACATCAGTATGATAAAGTTTGTGATACTGTATGACATGATGGCTTCACAAATTAAATTGTGTATCCTTGGTCTTCGTTACGGGTTATATAAACTGATGTAAAAAGTTTAATGGATTGAAATCAATATGGATAACAATGGAGCGCGTTATCTTACAAGGAAGTACTCTCCCTGCAAAATTGTATTTGATCTTTATAAATTCATAAGTGATTTAATGTTGATTGAAAGATGATTCTATTTGATTATGTTTATAACCTACAGTCGAACCTCGTTATCTCGAGCTCATATAACTCGAAGACCCCGTTTAATTCGAAATATTTCATCGGTCCCGGCCGAATGTCACACTAAACATTCCAACTCACTTAAATCGAATACTCGGATAACTAGAAGATTTTTCATGTCCCTCCGACTTTCAGATAATGAGGTTTGACTGTACATATTGTTAGGGTCGTAGTAATATAAAGGGAGGCTACTGCGGTGCCACTTAATTACAGTAAAATAGAATCAAAGTACTGAAAGTACTGAAAGGCTAAACGTATTGAAAAATGTTCACAAATAACCAAAGCTATATTACTTTCCCCATACTCCTACACTTTGGAATTAAAAAATTACTAAAATAGAAGAACCCGAGGCTAATTTTCTTAATTTTAAGCGATTATATATCTTCTTTAATTCTTATTTCAAATTTGACGACAATAATGTGAACAAATCAAAATAGGTAAAAAAAAATAACAAAATACACACAACCATATATTTATCGCCAACAAGCCAAATGATTAATAGCTCTATGATGAAGTTGACTAAATAAAACCTTTGAAATACCCAAGATGTTGCAATTACTATCCTATCAATATGAGGATTTAGAAAAATCGAAATGACTTTATACCTACTTCTTTATTTTGAATGAATTGCAAAGTAATAGTCCTTACTTATTGTAATTTTATTTGTAGTTGAGGAAGGTAGATAAGGTGTACACAGCATTTCAGATAGATAAAAGTGTAAGTAATTACATTAAATGTATTTACATGCCTGTCTTCCTTGAAGTATCATGGTTAGACTTTTCTTCCAGTAATTATGTCTATAAAGGCATAGTTCTTTGAGATTAAACCAGACTTCCATATATATATATATACAAAATTTACAATATTTTCACTATTACTACTACTATTTTTGATCTCCATTGCATTAGATAATGTCACCATGACACGCTAAATGAATAAATATGTTATGGAAATATTTCGTTCTAGTTAATTGATAATTATAAACATGAATATTTTGGGGTTTTTTATACGCGCTTTGTTTGAAGGAATATTTTCATTTCAAGGAACTTTGATACACATTAACAAACCTTGAGAAATCAGCACAATCAACCTTCATCAAATAAAACTAAAAGACAAAAAGTATAAGTTATAACAGAGTCAACATCATGATCAGTACAGTATTAAACATATATTATTTATAAATCATGAGCACCAAATGTACCTTGTCTACGAAGCGCAAACTTTTTATCTTCAAAAACTTGAAAAAGTGTCATGGCGGTGGGTGTGAAAAACCTGAAAAAATTGTCATATCGGCGGGTGTGCGCGTGGGACGAACAGTCCAATTCGGTGACGTCTACTGAGGTAAAGTGATGTTATATATTAAGTCGATCTTGCCACAACGACAAGGATTAAAACAAAATTGATGTTCTGCTTGTAAGTTTTGTTTGTTTATCAGTGCTGTTAGTTGATAATTCAAACCAAGCCCCCAGACTAGCTTATCAACTCGCACGTACAGTGTTCTGTACGCTTACGTCATGTCGAGAATTCCGTAAAATATATTGTTCAAAATTTATCAATAGTTCAACCACACTGTGCTTCTTTTTTGAAATATATAGTAATCGTATTGTTATTAAAAAATAAGCTAATTTTGGATGCTTTTAAAATAGCGATTTGAAAGATCGCGGCATTATTTACGCAGAAAATTGCCGCTAGAGGGCTCTAACTCTTTTCGATATTTCAGCCAATGAGAAGGCCAGAATCGGTAAATTTTGTCTGAAAGGCCGTCGCAATAGGCTACGCGTACTGAGTACGTTTAGCCTAAAACTGTGTTGTAGCTCAAACTTCTTTCATGTCTTCATTTCCATAACTATTAATATGTACGTAGCCTTTTGAATATGATTATTCAGAGCCCGAATCTATTCATGACTTACATATATGTATGTTTGAAGAACATTGCTGATATTACGCATATGCACATGATACGATTGTTGACAAATTGCAAATCATTTATGATCATCTTTAATGCATGCAACTCAATGTTATTATCAAAAGCTTGTATGTAAAACATATTGTTCTGTTTAAAAAATCTTCACTTTCGGAACACATTAAAGACAACTGTAACAATGAGTAAAAGATATGTGTAAATCGGTCCTTACATCGCTGTTCCGTCCTGGTTGCCGATTGTAGAAACATCAATATCACCACTACCATCGTCCAGTGAACAAGAACACAAGTCTTTCTGTGTACAAGTTAGTGCACTTGTATATGTGACCAATACTAGGCTCATAATCGTCACACTTATTGTCCATTTCATCGTCACCAGTATATCTCACAGCTCCTCAATAAATAAAATATCTCAGAATATATGATTAATGATCCAGCCTGAGCAGGAATAGTAGATATGGCAATTAACTGGTTTTCTACTCATATTACATACTATACTATATGTGTTTGAGTGGTACACCGATCTATGATTAGGTGTATGATAACATTATTATCATTATGAATTTTCCAGGTCACATGAATGTTCTACCCGAACTTGCAGATTACAAACATTATCTTCAAAATGTTTACAGTCTAGTGATACACATAATTTCATACAATGACACGTTTCGTTAGGCTTAATACGATCGTGTCAATCATATAATAAAGTTATAGAAAGAAATATTTTCACGATTGTGTTAACATTTTCTTGTATGTTTAGTAAATCTTATTTCCAAGGTTTAGAAGAGGGTGCCATTTATGGCACATCTAATATTTACATTTCCGGTGTAACAAATGCAGACTCTTTCCGTGCAAGAAGCCGCCAAATCGTAACAAAGGGTTTCAAAAGGTTTGTGAAAATTATGCGGACATTTTATGGCCGTCACAGAGACCTCACTGAGAATATTTTTTAGCGATATGAAGCTGGACGTGTTTGATGCACGTTAAGTAGCTTGTTAGTTCCGTTTGTGTACACCTTGTTATCATTTGAGAACGTGACATTACTTACTTGGATTGACATCGACACTGGGGTTTATTTTCATTTTTCAGGAGTCTGCCTGTGAATATTTCTGATGTTCATATTTCGACTCCGTTTTAATGAATCTGAGTTCGCCTTATGTCGATTTTTTCCTTGTTTTTTTTTTGTAGTTGTTTTTTTTAATGAAATTTTGAATCATTAATTGTTTTTACTGTCGGCTAGGAATTCGGATTGTCTTATATGGTCACAATCACGTACATTTTCATTTTGAGTTCAGCTTCTTATCTCTTCTTAAGTGTGTGTTTGTATGGCTGTGCGGATAAAATTTTTCGTGACGACTTCGAGTTTATTTCTTGTAATAGTGTGTTGAATAAATAGTATGTTTTCTGTTGGTTTTAAATTTTCTGTTGACGGTGTTGTAGAGTTTGAGTCGGGTTGAAATATGAATTTGTCCTTCTGTACCGAGACGTTGTGGTATGTTTTGTGTTGGATTGAGATATGAATTTTGCCCATTTTGTTGACGTTTTGGTACGTTTGGATTTAAGATCTTTGCTTGTGTGTTGTCAATGCGGTATGTTTGTTGCTGAGTTGAGATAAGTATGTTTTGCGTTTACGTTTTGTAAGTGTGTGTTGACGTTGTGTTGTGTTCTTTTGTGTTGGCGTTGTGGTTTGATGCTAAATTTGAGAAAAAATACTCGACTCAAACAGACATCGTTATCAACAAACTTTTAAAAGAATCATAATTTTCATTATAGATTGATTTGATATAAAGTTAAAGAGACTGTACAAAACATACACAAGTGGGTAGCACCGTTTCATAATTTAGAGGTACAGTTGAGCCAAACATTGAATTAAACTTTATCATACAGTTGTTTCGTCCTTCTAGGACTCGTCAGTGATGCCAAGGGCCTAAACTTTGAAGACTCGGGTGCGACTAAGGAAAATCCAAAGTGATCAAAGGAAAATTCAGATTTACACATGGAGGTGCAGCAGTCTCATAATCAGATCACTTTCGTTATTTTCATACATCAGACAATTTTACAATAGCGTCAACTACATGTATATTTTCTGAAACGTGCACTCTTCGAGTGAAAGCAGGTTACAGCAAACCTCGGTAACTTCAGTCCACTAGCAGTGTCTACTAACTGCTATCTTAATGATTATACAAAAGACATACAAGTTAATATCACCTCCTCTAATTTATATTGAGATACAGTAGAGACAAAAATCAATTAAACTGCATCTTACAGCTGTTTCGTCCTTCAAATGTATACACTGAACTGTATCAATACTCCAATGCATTTAAACGCAGCACACAGATCACGGCAAACGGGGCTTTTAATTAGGAACAATTTGAAAATGGTATTAAGACCATATTTGATTGAACCATATAGTGATTAAATACTACATTAACAAGATGAGAGGACACATTCGATACACCTGATAAATGGCGCTTCTTTCAATACTTCAATATATATTTTATCTGGGTAAGAACCATGGCATGACGTATACATGTGTGAGGAAGTATTACGTCAAACCTGTTGATCGACTGCAATATTCACACGCCTTCATTGTTAATTTGACAAATCGGGTAGTGCATTGAATGTTTTATTCAAAATGTACATTATATATACGTAATTATAAACAGATATCCGGGTGATGTAAGTTCTTTCATATGGTAGTATATCATGCGAAATACCGTGAACGTTATTTATTTAAACATTTTATTGTGTATAACGTGACAATTTCCGTTATATGACGTCAAACCACCGAATGATTTTTTGGAATGGTCATTTAAGACATGAAGTGTAGACAGAAAATAGGTACATAAATTTGTGCGTATTCACTGCATTAAAAATTGTATACAGCTTAGTTTATGTCTCGTAAAAAGAATACTATTTTTGGGTAAATCGGTGTCAGTATTTCTATAACATTTAACGCTTGATTCTTAATGGCAAACGTAATATTATCTTGTGTGTCTTTTGTACAATCTTATTCCCTTGTGTGTCTTTTGTACAGTCTTATTCCATTGTGTGTCTTTTGTACAATCTTATTCCCTTGTGTGTCTTTTGTACAATCTTATTCCCTTGTGTGTCTTTTGTACAATCTTATTCCCTTGTGTGTCTTTTGTACAGTCTTATTCCATTGTGTGTCTTTTGTACAGTCTTATTCCCTTGTGTGTCTTTTGTACAATCTTATTCCCTTGTGTGTCTTTTGTACAATCTTATTCCCTTGTGTGTCTTTTGTACAGTCTTATTCCATTGTGTGTCTTTTGTACAGTCTTATTCCCTTGTGTGTCTTTTGTACAATCTTATTCCCTTGTGTGTCTTTTGTACAATCTTTGTATAGACATGTGCTATTTAGGTGTTTTGTTCAATATTTACATTGAAACATACTTTTAACTGATGTCCTTACATTGTCATGTGCTATTCACTTGTGTGTTTTATGTACAATCTTTATATTGAAAGGTGATATATTTGCATATTTCAACAATCCTTTTCTTTGAAAAATATTCATTTCAAATGTGTTATTCATTTGTGCGTCATTTGTACAATATTAACATTGAAATGTGTTATTCATTAATGCGTCATTTGTACAATATTAACATTGACATGTGTTATTCATTAATGCTTCATTTGTACAATATTAACATTGAAAGGTGTTATTCATTTGTGCGTCATTTGTACAATATTAACATTGAAATGTGTTATTCATTAATGCTTCATTTGTACAATATTAACATTGAAAGGTGTTATTCATTTGTGCGTCATTTGTACAATATTAACATTGAAATGTGTTATTCATTAATGCTTCATTTGTACAATATTAACATTGAAAGGTGTTATTCATTTGTGCGTCATTTGTACAATATTAACATTGAAATGTGTTATTCATTAATGCGTCATTTGAAACATATTTACATTGAAATGTGTTATTCATTTGTGCGTCGTTTGTACAATATTAACGTTGAAAGGTGTTATTCGCGTTATGGTTTTTGTACAATCGTGATAACTTTGACGTGGTATGAAAGTTACAGCAAACATCGTTCACTGAAATGAAACTGTCCATATAACACCAACTCGCTGAGTACAAATTAAAGTCATATGATAATCTCAACAGTTGTTACTGAGAGAAGCAGATTCGGTATGATATTGGTGTCATGTGTTTCATCATGTACTCTTTGGCACCAAAACAGCTGGAGCTACTCAATATCAGAAGTTATTGATGACGTACCAGTATTACGGGACATATTACTATCCAGACACCTGTAACATTTGTTTTTACACCTCGACTCTGCTTGTTCACATTTACTTCAGAAAAAAAATTATATCCCTCTGGTATTTGTCATTGATCTGGTACTTGACAACAACAAGAGTTTGCGGACAGCATCAGTCAAGATAAAATCACCATAGCCTATGTATTCTATATCCATGAATCTTGTCTCACCATATAAATCGGTGGTATTTTGAAGAAATACACATTAAAACAACTCATTTATAACGTATTAAAAATACAGCATTTCAATATATTTACCATAAAGACGTGGTGTACTAAGTAAAAACAATACTGCTGGAGCAACTGATCAGTCAATGACGCTACCTGTACATAATATGTTTATTTCCAACTGCCAAAATTCAATAGTGACCGTGTGCAGGCAACAACCTGTAAAATACTGTTCTGTTGCGGTATGACCATAGTGGATTAGAGTATAAACGGAGATTTAACCCTCAATGGTAGTAGTGGCAATTTACATACTTTAGATTAGTTTTTTATCATGTTTTTGACAGTTTTCGTACATTCCTTCTTGTTTCTACATATTCAAGTAATCAGAAATCTACTTGAGCGAAATTCAATAAGTCATTGACAAAATGTACATACAATAAAAATACCGATGTGTCATGAAATCCAAATCAAAGTAGTTGAAATCAGTGCAAAATATCACCAAAAGGCAAATACCCAAGTAGTCCTGTGCATGTATTCCAAAGGGGCGTGCGTCTTCTGCTTCCTGGACAGTATCTGACATGTAAAAGTATGCTATATCTACATGTATATATATTGATAGTTCCCACATACGATTCCCCGTCATCCAAAAGAGCTGTGGAGACACCATACAGTTGATCTGTCATAGGTTGTAGTTTCTTCTCCGATAAAGACATATTGTAAACATAAAACCGTCCTACAAACGAAACAATAATTAGATTAGCTACCCATGCACAATGCTTCATAAATACTTACACTGAAAGAAAGGATTGCAGTATACATTATGCTACAAACACTGTCATTTGGTTTTTAAAAACTTATATTTGTTATCATTTAAAACAAAAACAACATACACATGATAGAACCTGGTA